ATGCTGGAGGGGATGTGGAGAGAGAGGAACACTCCTCCACTGCTGGTGGGAATGCCAACTCATACAGCCTCTTTGGAAATCAGTATGGAGATTCCTCAGGAAAATGGGAATTAATCTACCACTAGACCCAGCAATTCCACTCTTAGGCATTTATCCAAATGAGGCAGGTTCATACAACAAGGGCATCTGCTCCACTATGTTCATAGCAGCATTGTTTGTAATAGCCAGAACCTGGAAGCAACCTAGATGCCCCTCAACTGAAGAGTGGATAGAGAAAATGTGGTACATTTACACAATGGAGTATTACTCAGCAGAAAAAAACAATGGAATCTTGAAATTCGCAGGGAAATGGATAGCACTGGAAGAAACCATCCTGAGTGAGGTAACCCAGTCGCAAAAAGACAAACATGGTATGTACTCACTCATATATGGATTTTAGATATGGATCAGGATAGTGCCAGTCTGCACTTCCACAGATAGAGAGTCTGGGAAACAGGAAAGAACCTAAAAGATATGCATATATGCATAGTACCCAAGAGAAGAGGATGGAGACAAGATCCTCTGAATGGATGGGGAACAGGGCGAGGGGGGGGTAGTGGGACCTGGGAAGAATAGAGGGAGTAAAGAGGAAGGGAGTTGGTCATGGGGGAACAGGAAGTTGAGGGGGTGGAGGTAGAATAGGGGGAAGAGGGAATCATAGGATCGAAGACAGATCAGGCACCAGAGTGACCTCGAGTGATCTAAAGGTATAACATCAATTGGCAAGCTAAGCAATAGTGGAAGGACCACCTCGAATGCCCATTCCTGATAATGAACTTGATGTCTATAACTATCCGGGAGCCTTCATCCTGGGACTGATGGAAGCAGAGGCAAACACACAACTAAGCACTGAACTGAACCCAAGGAACCCAGGGACAGAGAGAGAGGAATGATGAGCAAATTGGCAAAGAATGGGCTGGCAAAACCAGCAGAGACAGCTGATCTGAACAGGGGAGTGCTCTTGGACCCCAGACCGACAGTGGGGAGGCCAGAATGGGACTGATCTGGACCCCCCAAATGTGAGTGTCAGTGAGAAGGCCTGGACAACCTATGGGGCTCTGAGCTGTGGATCAGTGTCTATCCCTGGTATACAATCTGTCTTCATGTGCCTATAGCACAAAGAGAGATGCTCTCTCAGCCTGGACTCTTAGGGGAGTGCCTTGACCCTACCAAGAGTAAAATGATAGACTCTAGACATCCCCTATGTGGAAGGATTTGGCAATAGGGTGGGAGGGAGGGTGGAAGGGGAGTGCGGGAGGAGGGGAGGGAGAGGGAACTGGGATTGACATGTAAAACAAGCTATTTAAAATTAAAAAAAAAAAAAGAACCACAGATTGCTCACAGAGCACCAAAAAAAAAAAAAAAAAAAAGGCTGCATCGTAATAAATAAATCTTTTTTAAAAACTCAATTAATAAAGCTGGGCATGCTCAAATGTGTCTGTCCTAGTGTGAAACAGCCTGGAGGAAGGGGCAGTGTGAGTTCAAAGCCCTAGGCTATAGTAAGAGTCTGTTTTTAATAAATCAATGTGGTTTTTAAAATTATGTATGTGTGTGTGCACTGGTGCACAGGTGAGGCCAGCAGACATGTGGGCCCTAGGGACTGAACTCATATCATCCATCTTAGAGGCATCCAACATAACTATTTTAAGTAGTTAGAAGTTGCCAGCATGCAATAATTTTCATTACTGATTTTGTGGGAGGGGTGGAGGAGCAATGCACTCGTGAGAGCAAAGGTCACCTTGCAGGGGTCCATTCTCCCCTTCTACCATCCAACTCAGGCTATCAGGCTTCACTACTAGGTCATCTTGCTGTGCCAACATTTCACCATTTCTAACACCAGAAAAGCAGTTCATGTGGCTTAATACACTATTCAAACACTACCTAAAACTACAATTATGGTTTTATATTTATAAATCCTACATTAATTTCCTAAGTTTTCAATATAAGATATCCCTTTTTAGGCCACAACAGGTAATTTTCAGAATAATTTCTAAGTCTTTCAAGAACTGTTATAAATGTAATTTGTATCTAAAAAGGCAATACAGGATAATCTGGTGTTTACTAAACAAATATCTTGTGTGCCAGGAGCAAACAAATAGTAATTAACTGACCTTGCTACTCAAAAATAGTGATATATTGTCATTTTTGGGCTCCCCTGGGCTTAGAGATATTAATCTTCTCTAAATTATGAATGATATAATGTAAAATGGCCTACCTGGTCCCCAATATCTACACCTTTCCCGATCTACAAGTGCCATACACCATAATTATGCACATGTAAGAATATTACATATACATGAGCATACGTGCATACATAACATATAAAGAGAGAAAAAGGTTAATCGAAGAGATAGGGAGAAGGAAGAGAGAATATTATTCTGCATCAATCAAATCAAACAATTTATCAGGCAGTTATGATGCACACCTTTAATTCCAGCACTAAGGAGCCAAAGGAGGAAGATCTCTGTGAGTTTGAGGCCAGCCTGGTCTACAGAGTTTCAGGGCAGTCAGGACTATACAAAGAAACCTTGTCTCAGGAAAAAAAATTCAAATGATTAAGCAAACATTTTCTAAGAAAAGTAACAAGGCTTGAATCACTCAGTTTTAACATCTAAAATTAACTCCTCTCTCTATATTATACTCAATAGTTATTCAAACTTCTCTCCTGTAAATTGATGTCTTTATCAGTATTACCTGCAGGAGTTGATATCTAATTAGAAAGAGTGGCATTTCAAATCTGCTCCTCTGTGCTTACTGTCCTTCAGATCTGCTTTCCTACTCTTTGCTGGTGATGTGTCAATCATCTTACCTCCCATGTGTTGTCCTAATAAACACATAAGCTTATTATTTGCTTCATCCACAAATGCCTAAAACAACGGTTCTCAAAAGACTGTCTATGGTCCACAATGTCATAGCTCCAAAGCCACTTGTCTTTTTTGTTCCCACTCTCATACAGAGATATTTTCTGAAGGTCATAAGCGTAGTATTACAGCAAACACAAGGAGTCATCTATTTTCATGAATCTTCTCCTTGTAGGGGACTAGACAACATCTATCCCCCTCCTCATAAGGACACAATGACAAACCAAAGTTCACTTCCACCAAAGCTCCCCCTGGAGAATCCATGAGTTTATTAGGAGCATTGTGAAAGGTTACTGGCAGGAGTGTGGGTGACCTCAAAGTGACCATATTGGAAAGTCTTCACCAAGCATTAATAATGGCTTTGCCACAGAGTTCTAATAGAGCTGCTTTCGCTAGTCTTTTCCAGCCTATGAACTTTTTCCCTCCCTGAGACACCAGAGCCATGTGCAATTAGAACAGAAGTGCATACTGTTGAGCGGTAGCTGGTACTCAGGTGAGGGTCCTAGGACCCTCCTGGCTCCCTCTACAGTCAGCACCTTACTGTGATGATCGTTCATAATTGGGCCCAGCTAAACTCATGAAGATGGCAGGTGTTTGGTTGGAAAGAGAGAGCTCAACACCCAAACATTACTAAGACTCACAAAAATGTAAAATAATATTACTCTTTTGACTAAACTGTTTGACTTTGGAAAACAGAGTTGTTTTTCATAAAATTATTTATGACAACATATAATGGGTTTATTATTGATATTTTAAATAAGTTGTTAAATATTTTTATATTTTCTTTAAATTTTGACTATATACATACATATATACATACATACACACACACATAAAAGTGTGTGTGTAAAAAATCATTATAATTGCTGGGCGTTGGTGGTGCACGCCTTTAATCCCAGCATTAGGGAGGCAGAGGCAGTCAGATTTCTTTGAGTTTGAGGCCAGCCTGGTCTACAGAGAGTTCCAGGACAGGCTCCAAAGCAATACAGAGAAACCCAGTCTCAAAAACAAAAAACAAAACAAAACAAAATTCTTATAATAGCTCAAGTGAAACCTGAGAATAGGACATTTGAGAAAGTGTGACCTAGAATTAGCCAGTTTCCAGACAGATACTTACTAAATGCCCTTTGATGGTGGAAGGATGAGCAAGCAAATCATCTCAGGCATTTTGGTTATGCTTCTGAGTTTTGGTTTTTCCTTTTTGGGGGGGTGGGGTTTGAGACAGGGTTTCTCTGTCAAACAGTCCTGATTGTCCTGGAACTCACTCTGTAGACCAGGATGACCTCAAACTCACAAAGATCCACCTGTCTCTGCTTCCAAATGCTGGGATTAAAGGCATATGTTAATACTGTCCAGCTGAGTTTTGGCTTTTGTTTCGTTTTGTTTTTCTAAGACAAACCGATCCAGCTTTATTAAAGTGAAAGACCTTGGCATCAAAGCGCCGGGCACTGAACCGAACCCTCTGCCCAAGAACCGGGGCCAGACCACTGGCCACAAATGCAAGAGGTGATTTATTGAGTACACAGGCGCCTGCGGATGCTACTGCAACTCGGGTGCAGAGCATACCGGGCTTGCAGGGAGTACAATATTTATAGAGTTTTAATGGTTACATAAGTAACAGGCATTTCATTGGCTCATCTTGGGGGCAGGGGTAGTTCCCACGGACTAAGTTTCCTGGTATTACCTCATGAAAGACCCCGGCACGCTTCAGCAATTATTATCCGGGTCCCATGACTACTATGGTGATCATAGACACAACTGGGGGCAGGGGTAGTTGCCAAGGACTAGGTGTCCTGGTATTGCCACATAAAAGACCCTGGCACGCTTCAGCAATTATTATCCGGGTCCCACGACTGCTCTGGTGACCACAGATCCTGTTTGACATCCTGCCAGCTGGGAGAGGCACCTGGTCTGGGTTTTTTCATTAGGCAACAGCCTGGCCTTACTTTTCTTTTCCTAGGGGGTCCTGGGTAGGGGTCTTTCAAAAGATACTTTCCATAAACAATCATGGTATTTCAGGCTGACATAGGCAGACAATCAATAACAGTTTACAAGAACTTCCAAACTCCCTTCTTGTATGGACTACCAAAATCAGGAAGCCACTATAAAACCTGGTCTTTATTCAATGCTTTGAAAAGGCAAAGAGCTTAGAGTGAGAGTTGACATTTCACATTAAGGATGTTGTTTAACAACTTTTCACAAGCCTACCCTGACTTTCAGGAAACTAAATAAAAACAGCAGATATATCAATCTGAAGAACCACAATCTTGTATATAAGCTGCTCTTTTGAGGATATCATTTTCACCGCAAAGTCGACTGCCCAATAGACCAGCAGAACCAATTGTAGGGGGGCAGGTTCCAACAAGTCTCTGGTTTTAAGGGAGTTAAGTCTATGTAGATGGTACAGGGGGAAGAGGATATAAAAATGAATTTAGGGTTTTCCCACACAAGGTATTCTGTGCCAACACCAGGATGTCTCTCCTGAGCCAAGAGGAGACTTTCTGAATTGTCAGGGAAAGATGTTTTTTTTCCATCACTATCATCAATAAGATGTTTTCCATCACTATCATCAATCCAGCTTAGAAGACATTCTGTTAGTGACACATGTTCCTTCTCCCCCAAAACAATGAAGTGTTCTGTGTGCTAACAACATAGCTTAAAAAAAAAGTAAAACAAAATTCTGATTTTTGTTTTGTTTTGCTTTTCGAGACAGGGTTTCTCTGTATTGTTTTGGAGGCTGTAAAATTCTGCATTTTTACAAAACTTGATAAAAGATAGTATTTCAAACTGTACAGTCACCAGAAGTACATAGTTATCAAAAATGCACACACTTTCACCACTTTCACTTGGCATCTCCAGCACCTTCAGCTTTTTGTGTCTGGTCTGTTTTGCATCTCCATTTTCTGCAGGGTTATTTGCATCCCTGCCAGCATCTGCTTTCCCCTTCTTCCCTTGGGTACCTTCTCTCCCTTCTTTGCAGGGGCTTTGGCTCTGGCTTTGGAGGAGCAAGTTTAGCAGACAACCTTGCAGATCTTCTCTGTGGATTGTCCTCCACCTTGGCTCTATCTTTTAGTATCCCCTTCAGCCTTTCTTTTGGGCATGGTGGCGGCGGTGGCGCTGAATGCAGGGATGCAGCGGTGCGGTGCGCTGGTTTGGTCGTTCAGGGGTCCTTCTCGCTGCTGTTTCACACTGCTCTGAGTTTTGGTTTTTGATGTAGTGTCTTGCTATGTATCCCAGAGTGGTCTGGAACTTATATATACCAGATTGGCCTCAAACTTGTGATCATCCTGCCTAAGTGTTAGAAATACTGCTTATGCTACCATAACCAGCTCTAGAAATGGTTAAAAGGGAAAAAATAAATACAATCTTTAATTAAAAAAAAAACATTTATAGTTTTGGAGCAAACTGTTTTCAGGAACTTCCTTGTGCTTTGTTTATTTTTGTCATTTTCTTTTAATTTATATAGAAGTGATCATTTAAATCTAAGAAGCATATCTCTATAAAGCAGAAATCTTAAGAAACTGAACCTGGCCAAGTGGTGGTGGCACATGCCTTTAATCCCAGCACTCAAGAGGCAGAGACAGTTGGATCTCTGTGAGTTCAAGGCCAGCCTGATCTACAGAGCCAGTTCCAGGATAGGCTCCAAAGCTAAAGAGAAACCCTGTCTTGAAAGACCAAAGAGAGAGAGAGAGAGAGAGAGAGAGAGAGAGAGAGAGAGACAGAGAGACAGAGAGACAGAGAGACAGAGAGACAGAGAGACAGAGAGACAGAGAGAGAGAACTGAACCTGCCATTACAGTCTGAGACAATATCTTGACAAGTTGTGCTATACCTAAATAAAAAGTAAAATAAGGGAGTGAGAGATGGCTCCATGGCTGCTCTACCAGAGGCCCCACATCTGTTCCCAGCACCCACAAGGTGGCTCACAACACCTGCAACTCCAGTTCCAGAGGATCTAATGTCCTCCTCTTGCTCTGTGCACACCAGGCACATGCACAGTGCACAGATAGGAGTCTTAGGTTTCTATTGCTGTGAAGACACCATGACCACAGCAACTCTTATAAAGAAAACATTTAATTGGAGCTCACTCACAGTTTCAGAGGTTCAGTCCATTGTCATCATGGTGGGGAGTTATGGTGATGTGCTGGCAGACATGGTGCTGCAGCTGAGAGTCCTGCATCTTGACTCAGAGGCAACAGAAGTCCACTGACTATCACACTAAAGGAAGCGTGAGCAAAACAGACCTCAAAGCCTGCCCCCGTGGTGGCACACTTCCTCCAACAAGGCCACATTTCCTAATAGTGCCACTCCCTTTGGAGGGTCATTTTCTTTCAAACCACCATAACAAGCAAAGTGGTTTTCAAACACTGTTTCTGTCTTTTAAGCTTCATTTGTCTCAAGTTACTATAATTTTTTATCCCATAACAATGTGAAATAAATACTAAGGATGAACACCAAGGTTCTAAATAGAAAGGAGAATTACATTGTGAATTATTACAACATAATTATTTCAGAATATAATACATTATTAGGGGTACAAAGTAATATGGCAGTCAATTTTGCTTCTGGGCACTAATATAATGTAAGTTTTGCAATAAAAAAGAAACTTCAATTGTGTGTGTGTTCATGTGTATGTATGTGTATGTATGCAAGCATGTGTGCGTACTTGCGGAGGCCAGTGGATAACTGCAGGTACCACTTCTCAAGTACTGTCCATTTCATTTTGGCTTTGTGTGTGGTGTCTTCCCTGCATGTGTCTGGACTATCTCCACAGAGGAGAGAAGAGGGTACCAGACCCTGGGACTACAGCTACCTGGGAGTGTCTTCTGGAAGAACAGCTCCCACACCCAGTCTATTCCTTCTTATTTTAATTATTTATTTATTTATTTTGTTTTTTGAGGCAGGGTTTCTCTGTATTGTTTTGGAGGCTTTCCTGGAACTCACTTTGTAGACCAGGATGGCCTCGAACTCACAGAGATCCGCCTGCCTCTGCCTCCCAAGTGCTGAGATTAAAGGCGTGCACCACCAACACCCGGTACCACACCCAGATTCTTAACATAGGTTATGGGATAGGATCAGATTCGAGTTGTTAGGTTTGCAAGGCAAACTTTTTGTGGATTAGGTTATCTATCTCCCTAGACCAGAAGCCTCACATTCTGTTCAAGCATAATATATCCATATTTCATATCTAAATACTAATATAATTCTTTCACATGGAAAAATAGTACACACTGAATCTGTATCCTTAATTAATAATACAATACATAATTCACTCAACATATTTTAGTAGAGTGGTCCCCATCCACTACACCAGACTGCTCTATTACTGTATAATCACTGGCAAATGTTCCAGTGTGCATTAGCCTCTCTGAGAAAACAGGAACTACTTCTGTCTATAATGCAGATATTTAACAAATGTTATTTCAGAAGGATTAAGTAAAATAATGCACATAAACAGCTAGCTCCTACTCTCAGTAATGTCCAGTATGCTGTCATCAATTAATGATGACATTAAGAGCTTTAGAATACATACACTGCAAGTAAAAGTAAGTTTACTACTTGAAAAATGATCAGATTCAACAGCCATAAATACCCTTTTTCCTGGGAAATATGGCCTAAAATTGCTATTTCTGTCTTTTTTGCAACTTCTTCCTTTTTTATATTTATTTGTTTTTGTAACTTCTTAAAATGGAGTCAAACATATAGCCTAAAAATGAGATTGGCACCGGGCGGTGGTGGCGCACGCCTTTAATCCCAGCACTCGGGAACTCGGAAGGCAGAGGCAGGCGGATCTCTGTGAGTTTGTGGCCAGGCTGGACGACAGCCTCCAAAACAATACAAAGAAACCCTGTCTTGTAAAAAAAAAATGAGATTGGCTTAAGTCTAAGAATGGGAGCTGTCAGGATTGTGGGTACCTTAAACTCACTCTGATTGATACTCTCAGTAAGAAATCCATTCACTGAACTACTATTTACAATTCTCTCAGATCATATTCTGTTACTAGCTAGGTATCAAAATTCTGAAATGAGTATTTATTATTTCACTAATACTTCATTTATAATTATATAATACATATGTATACATATATACATTAAAATTGAAAAATCTAGTTATTTTAAAAATCCTTTATGTAGTATGGTCCATCATATGAAGTAAATTTGTCTTTAATACTATATATTTCTAGCCGGGCAGTGGTGGCACACTCCTTTAATACCAGCACTCGGGAGGCAGAGGCAGGAGCATCTTTGTGAGTTTGAGGCTGGCCTGGTCTACAAAGCAAGTTCCAGGACAAACAGGACTGTTAACACAGAGAAACCCTGTTTTGAAAACCAAAAACAAACAGACAAATAAAACGAAATACATATTTCTAGTAATAGCCACACATTAAATGTTTCCTTTGAGAAAATGCATAATGCATATTATGAAATTCAATTAACTATCTTATTTTCATGTAAATTTACAAAAGACATCTCCTATCAGTGGGCATCAAAATATTTCATAAGCTAAGTTTCAACAGTGCCAGCTCTATGAAAGCATCAGAGTTAAACTGTGTAGGCTTTTTACTCACCAGGTGTACAGTCCTTGAACTGTTGTATATGTTCCACAGCCTCATGAATCTGACCCTGTTTACACAGGCAAAGAAGAGCTTTCTTGTGTAGACCACATTCATTGTAGATAATCTGTGCTAAAGCCAAGCAGCTGGGCTTTTGGTATGTGTTCTGCTCGCCATAAGCAAAAATAATATCCCCAGCCTTCTCAGAAAATGTCAGCCTGAAGCAAGCAGATCATCAAGGCACATGTCAGGGAATTCTTGATGAGTGGCTAAGATGGAATATCTGAGTATTCAGGACTTTAAGAATGGACTGTAAATAGCCTATAAGAACTGTAAATCAATGAGCAATTGATGATGAGGTAGAAATTAAACACATTTGAGATTGGCAAAACCAAAAACAATCAGTACTTACTCCTTTGGGAAAGTATTTTGGTACAATTGAGATCAAATTTGTTAAAGTCCTAAATTGACAGACAGAATTAAAAGACTGACAGAATTAAAACTGTCAGGTAAGCAAAGTCTGCATGCAACTTTGTTCTCATAAGTTACCTTAAAGTCAGTCTAGATTCTTCAAACTATACGAGTTTCTTAGACATTAGATAATGGGAACAATTTTGGCTTATAATTAGATTTGCAAGCATTTTCACTAAAAGGAAAACTCCATCATATCCTGTTTTCCTAAAGTCCTCAAGTGCTCCCTGCACCCCAACATCCATCTCTAAGTTTTAATGTTATGGGTAGTAAGGAAAGTGTATGGGGCGGGATGCACTACCCAATGGGAGAAACCGAGGAAGGAGTTCTTTTCAAACAGCTCAACCAAATCACTTCATTTGCTATAATATTTAAATGTGCCTGTTTATATACAAATACAGTGAGCCAACCATGTGTACTATTGCAATAACAACAATTAGAAATTCACGACATAAGCCAAAAGAACATTTGGGCATGATCAGAAAAATCACTTCTAATTAGGGCTTATATAGAAATTGTGTTATACTTTTAATTGATGGCTACAAAATAGCAGGGCTCACATAATATTTGTGGTGTTTGTATACTTTTAACAAAATCCTGATACTTCTGCAAAATGTCTCATAATTGAAAATGCTGTAAATAATGTCTCTGTATTTATTGGGGTGGAGAGTGGAGGGGTAGTTCAAGAATCAGAAGGCTCAATTTTTCTTTATAAACCATCCAAGTTGACAGATATGAAAGGCTGGGCCCAGCCTTCAAGGTGGAGCAACTCCAAGCATGCTTTGCCTGTGATGTGCAGACTTTGCTGTGTCCTTCCCTGTTTGGCTGCACTCAGCTTTACTAGGAAGCCCAGATTCTCATCCCCATCCCCACTCCATTTCACACTCTGGCTCTAGATAGGCAAGCCTACACATACCTGACTTCAAGAAGCCACCACCTGTTGGCTTAAGTGTTCTTCTAAACATCTCAGATGTTCTTCCTAATATAATAAACACTGTCTCCTGGGTCCATATGTGTCCATAGCCTGTCTAGAATCAGGTTCCTTGCCTTTTCTCTCCCAAGAGGTATGCTACTGACCAATCCTGTGCCCATGTCACTCAACTTCCATCTACTGTTAAGTTGTCACGTTTAATCTTGTGAACTTCACTGAATTGACTTTTAGTCTGAGCTCTTTGTGATTGGGTTAGAGACTTTCTAATTAATTTCAACAGTGAACTGAAGTAAGTCCTAAAACACAGTATTTATATCAAGCCTGGAGGCCAGGTCTAGGCCACATTGGGAAACTCTAGCTCACAAACAACAAACCATTCTAAGTCAGAGAAAAACAACCATATTAATCATATATCAAAATTAAGTTAGTAACTTAAAATTGCTTACTTTTCCTGGGTGACCCAGTGGGTAACTAAATCAAGTCGTTTTTCAGATAGTCCACATTTGATTCCCTCCAGAGTTAGGTCAGCATTAATAGGACGTTTGAAAGCCTGACTCCTGCTAAATATAGCTTCAAAAAACAAGAGTAATGGGAAAGGCTTTCCTCTAATTTTTCCAATAGCTACAAAAAGAAAAAAATGAGAAATTTGAGTCAAATACATTAAGAATTAATTTACCTTTTCTTGTTTCATATTACTACTTCAATTTCACTTCTTTGTTTTTTTTTTTGTTTTGTTTTTTGTTTTTTGAGGCAGAGTTTTTCTGTGGCTTTGGAGGCTGTCCTGGGACTGGCTCTGTAGACCAGGCTGGTCTCTGGTCTCGAACTCACAGAGATCCACCCGCCTCTGCCTCCCTAGTGCTGGGATAAAGGCATGCCCCATCACTGTCCCTAATTTTACATTTTTAACTCTTTAACAATGGATACAGAATACATTTTACATTTATAACAGTATCACTATGTATTGCTATGTATCACTATGTAGCACTATATATATCACTGTATATCATCATTATGTACCACTGTGTATCACTATGTAACACTATGTGTTATTATATACCACTATATATCACTATGTATCATCACTCTGTAACACTATGCACCATTATGTAACACTTTGTACCACTATATATCACTATGTATCATTACTATGTACCACTGTGTATCATCACCATGTAGGCCCATGAGAATGGAGGCTGAGACTGTAGTGATTTGGTTGCAAGCCAAAGGATGCCAAAGTTGCTGAGAGCCACTAGAAGCTCACATATTTCCCAATTCATAGAAGGCAATGCATGCCTGTAATCTAGACAACTATCCATTGCTGGAGGGTCACAGACCTTAGAGGAGAACCTACTACAGCTATGTTTATAAACCAATAGAATTTCTAACTGTATTCTAAATATTTATCCATACAGATAAGTGTAGTTCTCACCCCTCATCAAAGAAGCTTCCTTTTGCAGCAGATGGAGATTATTACAGAGGTCTACAACTGGTCAAAATGCAGAGAAAAATGATACATCTACAATGTAACCCCAAAGACTCAGGAAGATCACAGAAGAGGATGCAGAAAGATCCTAAGAGCCAGCGGACCAAGAATCCTGCTCATACTATCTTCTAGACATTACAGGGAAATTACACCCATGGAATCTTAATAATATGAATGTCTAAGCCTTTAGACATGCCTTTAATCCCGCATTTGGGAGGCAGAGAAAGACAATTCTCTGAGTTCGAGACCAGCCTAGTTAGTATACAAAGTGAGTTCCAGGATAGCCAGGGACATACAGAGAAGCCCTATCTTGAAAACAAACAAACCAACAAAGATCTGTATAATGACAATAGCAGTTGATATACCAACACGAATGGAGGTAGGGGGTTGATTTCATAAGATCCCACCCCTAGATGAAGAGCTACAGGGGATCAGTGGCTGTTGAGAGGGAGAATCAGTTTTCACCTGGGATGAGCTAGCTCCTTGACAGGTTATCCAATCCCAAGTATATGAGCAACACTGAATGGACTCAGTAGGGTCTGCATGTATAGTTAATGATTAAAGAAGAGTTTGCAGGTCAGTGGTGGTGCAGACCTTTAATCTTAGCACTCAGAAGGCAGAGGCAGGCAAATTTCTGTGATTTCCAGGCCAGCCTGGTCTACAGAGCTAGATCCAGGACAGCTGGAGCTACACAAAGAAATGCTGTCTTGAAAAACAAAACAAAAAAAGAAAAGGTTGTAAATTTGAGAGGACATCAGAGGAGTAGGAGAAGGTAGAATGTGGAATAGAAATGATATACAGTATTCATGTATGAAATTCTCGCAATACTTCCTGAATTAATAAGACAGAAGTGTCTCCGGGCGTTGGTGGCGCACGCCTTTAATCCCAGCACTTGGGAGGCAGAGGCAGGCGGATCTCTGTGAATTCGAGACCAGCCTGGACTTCCAAGCGAGTTCCAGGACAGCCTCCAAAGCCACAGAGAAACCCTGTCTTGAAAAACCAAAAATAAATAAATAAATAAGACAGAAGTGTTTAGTAAAGACAGACTTTAAAGAGCAAAGACTGAAGCAGTCAACACTGAACTACACTCAGAACACACCAAGACCAGATGCTACTACTGTTGGGTGTGGGGTCTTGCAATGATGGGGGACAGACCACCAAAGTCAATTAAACCAGAAGCAAGCTTTATTCCAGAAAAAGAAAACAAAATCACTTCAGGGTACAAAAGCTTATCAGTTATAGCTGAGACCACAGCCAGGGATAGGGGTTTCTGAAACTGGCAATGGAGGTTGGTTTTGGGTCTCTACTAGTAAAATCAAGCACCAGGTGTGGGTCAAAGAGGTTTTACAACTTGAGGTTAGGCTTAAAGTCACATTACATTTTAAGTTTTACAACTTTTGGTTATAGGATTCTAGGATGTTAACTTAGGATATCTGTGAAAGTCTGTGACTGACAAACTGCTGTCTCTGAAAGAATGCAAGACAGAGAGTAGAGTCACATAGGAAGACAGCTCAAAATTAAGGGAATACAATGCAGAGGGTCCCACAGAGGCAATGGTTAGAAGCTAACCTTTGTCTGCTGTACTTGCCCAGCTGGGCATACCCTAATATTTAGAAGAAGGAAAGTACAGAAATAAATAAATAAACTCAGGTCCTCAGGCTTGGGGGCAAAGCCACTTCATCAGTCTCACTGCATCTTCTTGGAGTCTCAGTGACAACTAAATGACATCATTATGTTTGGGCTTATCTGTGGCCTCTCTGTTGTATTTCACCGGCCCGTGTGTCTGCACCCTCCCACATGCTAAGCAAGCACTCTACTACAGAGCTACACCTCCAACCCTTTTAAGGTTTATTTTGAGATTAGGGTCAGACTAAGCTGCCAAGCTGACCCTGGACCTGTGATTCTCTTGCCTCTGCCTCCTGAGTAGCTAAATTACAGGCATGTGCCATCACAACCAGCACTTACCTGTTTTTATTCTAGTAGGATACTGTTTATTACTGTAGCTTCAAAATATAATCTTAAATCAGGATGTGTTATATCTCCAACTTTTTCTTCTCACAATATTGATCTGAGTACTTGAGGCTTCATGCTTTTGTATAAATTTTAGGATTTTTTTTTTTTGGTTTTATGAGACAGGGTTTCTCTGTAGAATTAAAGCCTATCCTGGAACTCACTCTGTAGACCAGGCTGGCATTGAACTCACAGAGATCCACTGCCTCTGTCTCCTGAGTGCTGGGATTAAAGGCATGTGCCACCACTGTCCAGTTTAGGATTCTTTTTAAATTTCCTGAAAAAGCTATTGGATTTTGTGTATATATAAGAGGTAGTTCCAGGACAGTCTCCAAAGTCACAGCGAAACCTTGCCTGGAGGGTGGGGGGAGCCGGGCGTTGGTGGCACACGTCTTTGTCTTTAATCCCAGCACTCGAGGCAGAGGCAGGTGAATCTTTTGTTTTTTGTTTTTTGTTTTTGTTTTTCGAGACAGGGTTTCTCTGTGGCTTTGGAGGCTGTCCTGGAACTAGCTCTTGTAGACCAGGCTGGTCTTGAACTCACAGAGATCCTCCTGCCTCTGCCTCCCAAGTGCTGGGATTAAAGGCATGCACCACCAAGGCCCGGCTGAGGCAGGTGAATCTTTGTGAGTTTGAGGCCAGCCTGGTCTACAGAGCAACTTCCAGGATAGCCTCCAAAGCAATACAGAGAAACAAAAGGATATGGAGAAAATCTGGCAAAAATTACTATTATAAAATCTTGATAGTGAATACATATATATTTGCATGGAAAGGGGTGGTTTTTTGAGACAGGGTTTCTCTGTGTAGCTTTGAAGGCTGTCCTGGCACTTGCTCTGTAGACCAGTCCGGTCTCAAACTCACAGACACCCACCTGCCTCTGCCTCCTAAGTGCTGGAATTAAAGGTGTGTGCCACCACTGCCCAGCTGGTGAATTTATTTTTTAATAATTTATTTATTCTTATTTTATGTGCATTGGTGTTTTGCCTGTATATCTGTGTGAGGGTGTCAGATCTTGGAGTTTCAGACAGTTGTGAGCTGCCATGTGGGTTCTGGGAATTGAAGCTGGGTCTTCTGGAAGAGCAGTCAGTGCTCTTAACCATGGAGCCATTTCTCCAATTTGATGGTGAATGCATTAATACTGTGTTTATTTATGTTTTTCTACATATGAAATATTTCAAAATTTAATTTAGAAAATTGAGTAAACTGCTAATATTACAGCTAAGGAAACAGTAAATAATAAAGATAAGGTAATGAAGGACTAGCCACTCAGTAATATTCTCACTCTATTAAGAAAAGGTAAAGTATAATTTGCATATGTATTTCAGAAAGTTTTGCTTACCCTTAAATTTATTCATTGTACCGATATTTTGAAGAATTCTTCTTGGACTATTTGCTGCAAAACAAGCTGCCTTCTCATATTCACCAAGGGAGATTAATTCATTGAACCTATAGCCATTACATTTTAAAACACATTACAATGATACACAAAAAATATTAGAAATGAAGTACAATGGTCTAGTGGAAAACAAAAGTAATTCAATAAGCTTTAACTAGATTTATCCATTCAATATGATGTTCAATTCTTCTCTAGGATTTGTTTTGACCTGTTTACTTGGGGTTAAATTTTCACCTTTTCAGTAGCTTTACTTGACCCTGTAGTTTGTCTCCACAGGCCCCATGTAGAAAACAGGAAGGAAGAACACAGCGAACTTACACCGAGTTGGGCTTCTTTTCCTTACAGATCACCAGGTAAGAGCTTCCTGCTTAGAAATTCAGCCTCAGGGGAAATAACTGAACACAGAGGCAGCCCAGCAGGACAACAAGAGGAGTTCAGAAGCCAACACCATCTGTCAGTATCAAACTCCCCATGACCACAAGCAGAGGTAATAGTTCATGAAGCCTCTACTCTTCCTCCTCCACACAGCGAAGGTCCCAAACTAGCCATTAGGAAAAGAGGAGTGATTCAGTGTCACAAAGGAATGCTGGACAAAGTGGGAAATCACCAATGTAACATATAACACTTTAAAGGCGGTGGACACGCCTTTAATCTCAGCACCCTTGAGGCAGAGGCAGGCGGATCTCTGTGAGCTCCAGGTCAGCCTGGTCTACAGAGCGAGTTCTAGAACAGCCAGGTACACAGTGAAACCCTGTCTCAAATAAATCAAAAAACCAAAACAAACAAAAAAGACTGAATTTTAACAAAGGTTTTCCTCTCCTTTGAAAACCTGGAATAGGGGCTGGAGAGATGGCTCAGAGCTTAAGAGTAATGGCTGCAGCCGGGCGTTGGTGGCGCACGCCTTTAATCCCAGCACTCGGGAGGCAGAGGCAGGCGGATCCCTGTGAGTTCGAGGCCAGCCTGGTCTACAAAGTGAGTTCCAGGACAGCCTCCAAAGCAATGCAGAGAAACCCTGTCTCGAAAAACCAAAAAAAAAAAAAAAAAAAAAGAGTAATGGCTGCACTTCCAGTGGTCCTGAGTTCAATTTCCAGAAACCACATGGTGGCTCACAACCATCCATAATGAGATCTGGTGTCCCTTTCTGGCCTACAGGCATACATGCAGGCAGAACACTGTATACATAATAAATAAATAAATCTAAAAAGTAAAAAGTAAAAACCAGAAAGCCTGGAGTTGTACCATGAAAACTCATAGTAACTGGACTGGAGTTGGCTGGAGAAACAGCTTGGTCTATAAAGAAAAGGTGGATGGAAAGAGCTGGCTCCACAAAGTTGTCTTGGGACCCCACATGAGTGCAGTAGTTTGTGCACGTGTATACCAATGATAATAAATGAAGCGGGCGGTGGTGGCCCACGCCTTTAATCCCAGCACTCGGGAGGCAGAGGCAGGCAAATCTCTGTGAGTTCAAGGGCAGCCTGGTTTATAGAGTGAGTTCTAGGACAGCCTTTAAAACAATACAGAGAAACCCTGTCTCGAAAAACCAAAAAAAAAAAAAAAATAGTAAGTAAGATGGAGAAGCAGTTAAAGAATGACACTAACACTGACTTCTGACCTGTATGCCCATGTGCACTCACTCTCCTGGGCATGCACATACAAACAAATACATACAAAAAATTAAAAGTTACATTCAAACACATACTTACAAAAGACCCGTGTGAGTCCGAGCATCTACAATGGGTGGCTGATAACCACCTGTAATTCCAGATCTAGGGGATCTGACTCATCTGGCATTTATGGGCACTGAAATTTATGTGCACATACTTAAAACAGTAATATTTGAAAAATGATAATTAAATTTTTAAAAATCTGGTAGACTCAGAAAAATATACAGTGCAAGAAAATATTAGAGTCTTTGGTGCTCCAACCTTTGAATTGTCTTTACCTACTTCTTTGTACCATAACAACAAACAAATCAACAAGCAAAAACTACTTGACATATATGTAACTGACAGCTTGTAAATTATCTCAAGTAACACTTGAGAACATGCACCACTTCACTGCTCTCTGCTCCTGGCTGTGGGTATGCTACTCCAGCTGCTTCAGGTCCCTACAGCGATGGTCTGTGACCTGCAATTGTGGAAGACGCTTCTAAATATCCACACAATGGCTCGACAAGCTAAGGTGCTCTCCCTATGCCTGACAAGCTGAGTTCCATTCCCAGGACCCACGCGGTAGAAAGATCAAACACTCCTACAAGTTGTTCTCTCACGGCTATGCTGCCTACCTACCCCACAGAATAAATAAATAAGTGTAACTTCGTATATCGTAGAATAAAAATAATTACAAAAAAGATTTCACTAGCTACAGTAACCTATAATTAAAAGACAAACTTGCAAGCCAGCACTCAGGAGGTGGGCAGGAGGATCAATAGTTGAAGGTCATCCTGTACTACACAGTGAGGCTTTTTGGGTTGTGAGATGTTATCGAAAAACAAACAAGTAAAAATAAAAGCAACATGCCAGGCAGTGGTGGCCCACACCTTTAATCCCAGCACTCGGAAGGTAGAAACAGGCGGATCTCTGTGAGTTTGAGGCCAGCCTGGTCTACAGAGCAAGTTTAGGACAGCTAAGGCTGTTACACAGAGAAACCTTATCTCAGAAAAGAACAAGGAAGGCAGGCAGGCAACAAAAGTCCACCCAAAACAAACAAACCCAAAATACAAATGATATTTGCCTTTCAATGTAGTAAAGCATAATTATAGCTTCTTTTGTCTTGCTTGGGTCATCTTCAAATAGCTCATCAACAATGCTTTCATCACCTAAATATTGAAAGGACAATTTTTAATGATACTGTTCAGCAGTAGGAAATAGTGAACATGTTTAGAAGTTTCAAGCAACACCAGCTCTTTCCTAAAGGGGTCACTTCCCTCCCTCCCTGGCCTCATTCTCTGGAATTCCCTCAGGCTTGTTATTTTCCCCTCTCTCTTCTTAAATCTTTTAAAAAAGTTTTTGCAAAACATTAGTGTTTGATCCCCTGGAACTGGAGTCACAGTTGTGAGCTGCCCCGAGGGTTCTGAGAATTGAACCCGAGTCAGTCCTGTGAGAAAGCACTCACTCAGTGTTCTCTGAGTCCCGTGAGAAAGCACTCACTCAGTGTTCTCTGAGTCCCGTGAGAAAGCACTCACTCAGTGTTCTCTGAGTCCTGTGAGAAAACACTCACTCAGTGTTCTCTGAGTCCCGTGAGAAAACACTCACTCAGTGTTCTCTGAGTCCTGTGAGAAAACACTCACTCAGTGTTCTCTGAGTCCTGTGAGAAAACACTCACTCAGTGTTCTCTGAGTCCTGTGAGAAAACACTCACTCAGTGTTCTCTGAGTCCTGTGAGAAAACACTCAGTGTTCTCTGAGTCCTGTGAGAAAGCACTCACTCAGTGCTCTCCGAGTCCTGTGAGAAAGCACTCATGTTCTTACCCACTGAACCATCTCCCATCTCCAGCCCGAGGCCCATGTCTTTGCCTCACCAGGTCTTCTCTTTCACCAATCTGTCAGGTGCTGAAGGAAGAAACCCAGGGAGTAAGAGAGAGCTAGAGAAGCTACGTATATTTTTAAAACTCAGCTTAGAAATCCCTGTAGCTCTGGGAGAAATGCCTTCCACTGTTCATGCTGATTAAGGAGACAGAAGAACTACCATAGATTGCTTTGGTTTTCTGAATTTTCTCCATAACATCTTGGAATGGGATTCTCATGTCATGCTTCATCCATGTAGTAAGTGTGTGTGAAATAACCTGCAGTCTTTGATGGCTGTAAAAGAAGAGCACCAACACCACCCTGAGCTGGGACCACACACAGAGTGTGAGAGTAGACATGAGCTAACTGCCGGTCATACCGAAACTGCAGGTCTCTGTTCAGACTCTCAGCGGCATCTCTGCGTTGCAGTAGCACAGCCATCTCCTCATCCAGGTCAGCCTTCTTCTGGGCTGGTACATACTCTGTTGACATATCTTGCTTACGTTTTATATATTTATCTTCAAGATGCTGCTTATATTTGTTGAGAGCATCCAGATTGACAGATTCTTGAAGAGTCATCCCTATAGGAAAAACAAACAGGCCAAGTCTCATGCTTACCTCATTATAAAATAATTCAGAAACTGGAACAGGAACTTGTGACTTCCAGAACATAAATACAGTTATCACAAATAGTAATGCTAATAGTTTGGTTTGTTTTTACATCTATTTGTTTAGTGCTTAGAACTCTGGCCTTATGCAAATTAGACAAATTCTCAAACCCTTACAGATGGTTGTGAGCCACCATATGGTTGCTGGGAATTGAACTCAGGACCTCTGGAAGAACAGTCAGAGCTCTTAATCTCTAAGCCACATCTCCAGCCCCTAGAAGCTAAATCTTTTTTTTAAATTTAAATTAGAAACAAGCTTGCTTCACATGTCAATCCCAGCTCCCTCCTCCCCTGCCCCCCAATAATACCCCCAACCCTTCATGAGGCACTCCATGGGGGAATCTCCAAAATCTGTCATATCATCAGGGGCAGGGTCTAGGCCCTCCCGCATGTGTCCAGGCTGAGAGAGAGTCTCTCCATGAGGAATGGGTTCCCCAAGTCCATTTGTACGCCAGGGATAAATACTGATTTACTACCTGAGGCCTCATAGATTGTGGAGACCAGAAGCTAATTCATGAGATATCTCTTACTCTTGAAATGCCCCTTCTGTTCATTATATCCTGCCCCCCCACCTACACACACACACACACACACACACACACACACACACACTTACTTCAAATGCCATCCTTTCTCATCTGGCCAATTACTGACATTAGGACCCACTTCCAGAGCCAGGCATAACGGTACAGGGGTGTGGGGGATGTTGTAGAGCAGGCCTATCTCTGTTGAGTTTGAGGCCAGCCTGGTCTACAGAGTGAGTTCCAGGATAGGCTCCAAGTCTACACAGAGACACCGTCTCAAAAAACCAAAAACAAACAAACACACAGCTTCTTCAATTTAGGCCAAATCTGTCTTCCTGAAGTTCCCACCTACTGGTTCTGCTCTGGATAAACACTACCCAAAGCCCTGTAAGTTCTAGAGTTACTGACCTCCAATTACTATCCTCAGTCTTGTAAGTCACAGTCTATTCATCCCACTAATCTCCCTGAGTCCTGGAGGAAGCCAGGAGATACTCCGTTTCTCAAATGTAACAAGAATGCTACATTAAAGTTATGAAAACATGAATCCCAACATCACCATGAATAACATTCAGCAAACTTAACACAGTAAAATGTTTAATATACCAGTGGCTGTCAAACTTTATGGCATAACCAGAACTTCAGACATCACTCAATGAACTCCTTCACCAAGTTTCTGATGTAGTAAAGTCTGAGATGAGATCTTAAGGTGTGAGTGTGTCTGCATGTATGCAAGTGCAGTAGGTACAAAAACATGGTTTCCATCAGGTGTCTTCCTCATACCAATGAGCTCCAGGGATCCACTTGTTTCTGCCTGTCTCTGTCCACCCCAGCATTGGATTAGAGGGGACATAGCTTGTATCTGGGAAGGCGGGTCTGAACACTGAGTTTGCACAGTGGGCACTTCACAAATCTCACCAACCCCAAGGATTTCTACTCTCAATAATTCTCAAGTGATGCTGATATTGATGTGCAAGCATTGTGTGAGCTTGCTAGGCTGCAGTCTGGACACCCTTCAGACTTGCTTCAGGTTTGCTCTTTCCTGAGTATCTACTAGGATCCTGTCTAAAGTTGCTTCTACAACACACAACCAAAGGAATTCACATATTGACACATTGTGCTATTTTTTTTTGCAATATAATTTATGTTTGTGTAAGAGGCAGCCAACTGGACCCACTGGGGATTTTAAAGGAGATACTGCACCTGGGATGGGTCTCCAGAGCTGCCTGGTAGAAGCACAGACCTTTACTTCTTTCTTGTCATACTCTGCTCTCATCTGTTTCATCTCATCTATCTGCAACTGAATGTCTGTGGAATTATTTTCAATAAGCCTCACTCTGAAAAACAAAAGAACAGAAATGCTTTTGTATACTTGTCACAACCAGTTTAATTCTTGAATCACAGTATTTAAAATAAAACAAGCTAGATTGTTGCTTTATTTAGCTAATTGCAATTAAAACTGTTATGAACTAGATGTTTAAAAAAGAATGCCCCGAGAAAGCTGACACACGAACAGGGAACAATTTCTGCTCAGAGTGCTAATGAAAGCAACCACTATTATTACTAACCCCATTGTACATCAATAGACATTAACTATAATCTGGCAACAAAACACCATCTATTCCCTTTAGTAAAAACAACTGCTACAACTGAAAAAGCATTTTTAGTTTTCCTTTTTCTTTTCTTTTGAAAGGGTCTCATCACGTGGCTAGATTTGACTTTGAATTTGTGATCCTGCTCCTAAGCACTGGGATCACAGGTGTGAACCACCTCACTGGGCTCAAAGAGAAGCTTTAAACAAGAAAAAGAAAACTGTTATTTTGCTGGGGCTATTGTAACAATTACAAATTTTGTGACTGAAAGTAACATTATCTCATCATTCTGGAGGCCAGAAGTCCAAAAGTAGCAGCATTAAACCACACAAACGTGAAGCATTTGGGAAGATGGAGGGGGGGTTGCTGTAAATTTGAGGTCAATCAGTGCTACAGAGTGAAACCTTATTTGAAAAACACTGTATTTTAAGAAGCATTTTATTACTTGGTGGGTCATTACTGTTGGGGATCACTAGATGGAGTGCTGTAACTCTGGTGGGAAACATGAAACTGTACTGTCAAATCATCTATGCACGAAACCACTTCCCTCCTTTTATGATACCACAATGTACTTTCACTATACTAAGAGGGATCATAAAATCCTCAAGCAAAATTAATGGTTTTGCTCAAAATATATAATACAGTTCGTAAGAAGGCAATATAAAACTATAGCTTTAAAATTATATTAAATTAAAGGTAGGCATGGTATAATTCTATAGTATTAGCACTTGAAGGCTGAAGGACTTGAGGATGGCCAGCCTGGTGAATCACCACTAGTTTAGACTAAATAGTGACACCCTCTCTCAAAATAACAAAACAAACAAAACAGTAAAACTAAAGACTAACAATTATTTTTTTAAGGTTTTTGAGACAGGGTTTCTCTGTATTGTTTTGAAGGCTGTCCTGGAACTCACTCTGTAGACCAGGCTGACCTCGAACTCACAGAGATCCGCCTGTCTCTGCCTCCCGAGTGCTGGGATTAAAGGCGTGCACCACCAACGCCCGGCGACTAACCAATTATTATGACACCTTTCTGACTAGTTACTGGTATACTCACTTTGCTTCAAGTTGGATGGCTCTTCTATGGTGATATACCAACGATGTGGGCTCTGCTGCCAAAACTTTAAGTTTTCCGTGAAGATAAAAAGCAGTTTTTCGGCCTTTCTTTATTGTCTCAATAAAGGCATCATATTCTTTTTTGATTGAAGTAAGAATGGACTTGTATGCATTGACATAGTCTATTACCTGAAATATGATTTTTCCATCTGTGGTACTGAATTTTCTTTAACAAAAGATACTGTGATCAAAAACCTTTTAAGCAGGATATTTTTAGGTAAGTTGTGATTATTAATTAGAAGTATAAACATCTTACAGCAAATACAACATGATTAGGCACTAAAAACAATAATTACCTGTGGGTCACCATGTAGGTATTGTGAACCTAACTATGAGAAAGGCTCTCTTATACTTGGTATGAATTCATACATCAGACATTGGCTAATACAGTACTATATCTCCATTTTTCAACTGTAGATCTTTTAATTATGTATTTCTTACTCCATTAAAATCTACTCCCCTGACCTCATTTATACAATATTTTTGTGCTACTCTTAATTATGCATGTGATGTGCCTGTGTATGGGAGTGTGCATGTGAGTGCAGGTGCCTGCAAGACAGCAGAAGCTTCAGACCCGAGCTGGAGGCACAGGTGCTGTGAGCCCTCTGTAAGTGTGGAGACCATACTCAGGTCTTCTGGAAACGGTGTGTGCTCCTAACCACTGAGCAATCTCTTCAGCCCCCACTGAGACACTGCAATCTGAACTCATTCACCTCCACTAGGAAGATCAGAGCAGAGTTCCCAAGTGCATTTCTATTCTCAACATGTCCAAAACAATTGTGAAAATCACCTTCATCACTACGCATTCATGGTTTCCTGTATTTAAGAAAAACATCTATCAGGAATGACAACAGAGGGAAAGAACAGTATAAAGGTTAAGGAAGAAGCTATGCCTGCAGAAAGGGCAGGTCTCCACTCGAGGGCTGGCTCCACAGCACACACCCCTTTGTTAGGGCTTTTCTCCCTTAGTCTTGTATATGCATCACTCACACAAAACACGAATTTTATGTTTTTCAAATATTGATGATATGTAGGGAATAAAGGTAATCAATTCAAAAATTTCTCTGAAATCTGAAATTATGCTTGTTTGTCTCTGCTACATTTTTTGGGTGTGTTATCCTCCATGAGTTTTCTTTAGCTACACAGTATCTAAAGAAAGTTATCCAAGGAGACATCCATTTTGCCACATGTGGTCTAGAGTGGTCATTAGTCTATGGCAAGTACCAGGAAAAGGTATCTGAGGAAACACAGTGCTTTCTCTCTCCACGCCACACCAGCTTTCACCCCACCCAGGAACTGTTCCCGAGGGAAGGCTTTCCATGTCCAGGCTCTTGTTACTTTCTCCTGGTCACCTTCTACCTCACATGCTCCTGCCATGTGCCCCAATAGCCCAGCTCAGATACATTAATGGGTAGTTAACACAAACGCAGTAACTCTATGATCAGTGACCACGTCAGTGTGCCAGAAGAAACAATCCCAGTAGAACACACCTTTATGAAGACACAGAAAAGCATAAAGTGGAGGATGCAAACTGGCATAACACCGTAGGATACAGCTGGCTATTTCACCTTACACACAAAACATTTGAAAGCTTGGGATTCTTTACCACCAGTCTTTAGAGATCCCCGAAAATTCTGAGAGTAACACCACAGAAGCCCTGTGCCTCAATGGCACTTTCCGTTGTTGGGTGTGCACCTTTACTTTGTCCTTCCTCTTTTTTCCCCTTTCCCTTTCCTTTCTTTTCCTTTGGTTTCATATGTTCCAAGATGGCCTTCGATGCATTATGTAGCTAAGGATGACACTGAATTTGTACTATTGCTGCCTCCACCTCCCAAGTTTGGGATTACAGGTGTGTAGCACCATGCCAGAGTTAAACCATGTAGTGCTGAATGTAGATCTAAGAGCCTTGAGCCTGCTGCCCAAGCTACATTCCCTGTCTCTGTACTTACTTTCCTTAGAGTAAGGGAGTAGGCTTTTAAAAATCTTCTTTAGTATATATTCACTATAAATAACAATCAGTTTCATAATGGCATTTCCACATGTGTTTTAATTTTAATTCCTTTCTTTTTCCAAATACTTTCTACTTCTACCTTAATTTTTTTGGTGATCCAATTAATTTGATTAGGATTGCTTATATAAGCATACTTGAAGATTATCTGTAAGAGCACGAAGTAAGTAACCAGAGGGTAGAACCCTATAGACAATGTCTCTTCCTCCCCCCAGCAACCATTAACTACTTAAAGATCCTCAGGAGGAGCTAGGTTTTTATTTACACAAGAAATAAAACTTATCAGAATGTTTAAAAATTAACCAAAGACTGGGTTCCCCTGGATAGCATAGGTAGGCACATCTCTGTGAGCTTGAGGCTAGCCTAGTCAACACAGTGAACTCCTGTTAGACTGGGTTCCTACTCTGCATGTATGTGTTTTACTCTGGGACAGTTGTATACAAAAGTCTTGAGGTACATTCTTCCTCCAAGCAAAGAGGAAAGGATGACGATTTCACTTTTGTTGTCAGGGCATCTGTCAAGGGATGGTAAAGAAAATGCTAAGGAAAGAATTTAGAATCATTGAACAAACTGCAGTTGTTCAAAAGGAGACAGTTATTTCTAAAATGGCAAAGAACCAAATCTGACATGCTAATATAAAGCTGTAACATTTTGTAATCTAGCCCCATTATTTCCAGCGTTAATATCGGCCAAACCTTTATGCACCATATCTAGACCTCTGACAGGGCTCAAATGGTTTAGATGAAACTTCTGGCTGATTCCTTCATTGATTTGAGCTGAATCATGTCATTATCTTGCTGGTAGCCTCCAGCTCCTGGCTGCAAGCCATCTTCTAGCCCCAGCATGCCTACCAGCTAGGGTTACTGGCATGTGCCATAGCACCCAGCTCAAGAGGTTTCATTTAGTATACTATACCATACATAAACCAAGACCTTAGTGATACCAGAAATCAACCTAGAACATAGATTACTAGTTCTTGTTCACAATGCATGTTCTAGCAAATCAGATAGTACCTTAACAGGAAAGGGTAAAAATGATTACCAGAAGGCACGGCCAAGTGTTGACAAAAAACAGCTTGTTAAACTAAACTAATTGACTCTAAGTAGCAGTCAGGAAATGTAAATGCAGCACTGTGCTTTCCCTATTCACCCCGCTTTAACAAACTGGATGAATTTCTCCAAAGGAGTATACAGAATGTGATCAACCAGGTAGCAGTATTTCTGAGGCAGTGGTTAAGCTATGTTTGTATAGTCTCTTGGAAATGTTCCGTCTTAAAGAACATCATGGTACCTTGTCAAAAACATTTCGGTATATGGTGTAATACTCATCAGCAGGTCCTTCCTCATTGCAGCCCACTCTTTTGGTTTCTGTAATTATGTATCTTCGCATGCTCTCCAAAAACTCCTTGTCACTTCTACTAACGATGGGAGGGAGGACTGCACGCTTGTTTACTTCTTGGAGTGACATCAGTCTTAATCTGCAAGCTTGTTCACTGAAGAAAAATTAAGCTTTGACCTTCTTTTGCAAAAAAGCCAAGAAATTTTAGTGAGCCTGAAATAAAACACGACCATCAGTTAATCTATAAGCCTACAACTCTTAAGTCAAAAGTCAATTTAAAAATATGTATGTTTCTGAAAAAAATTATTAGGGATCTGTCACTGAGATAAATATTTCAGTCAATGAATTAAATGCCCATGCTATTCTACTGAAATTTGCTATACTCTAGAATGTCAGACAACTGAGAACTCTTCCCTTAGGGCCAGTGAGATGGTTCATCAGGCAGAGTACTTGCCATGAGAGCCTGAAGACCTGAGTTGATACCCAGAACCCAGGCCAAGGTGGAGGAGAGAACCAGCTCCACTAAGCTGTTTCCTACCCCCACAAACGCCTCCGTGCCCAGTTAGGCACACACAATGATGGGTGAATACAGAAAAACACCCTTCCTTTAGACACCAAGCACATTCCTCTTATGCATATCAGTTAAATGATAGCTTCTTAGGCTTCAACTCAGCACATGAAACGATTTATATTTCACAAAGCTGGGGACTAAATTAGGGTTGTGAACATGCTATGTAAGCACTGTATTTTTGTATCAGATTTTAATAATTGTAAGAATTTGTGAAACAATAAGTAGCTGAGACAATAGATTTGTTTCTTTTAAGTGGGAACTGCCCTGTGTGCTTCTTGCTGATACAAACAAGGTCAAATACTTTATTTCCCAGTGTCTGCCTAGACCTGTATATAACACTTCTCTATCACAAAATGGCCACAAATAATTAGGTGAGTGGGTTTTGTTTTTGTTTAAATTGTTATTTCAGAGACAGGGTTTCTTGCAAGCCTGGCTGGTCTTGAACTCCCTATGTGGCTGAGAATGACCTTGAAGATCTTCCTGCCCCACCTCCCAAATGCCAGAGTTATAGGCACCCACCACTTGGCTTAATAAACAACAAAACAACAAAAGCATGACTTCTGGGTCTGGAGGGAGAGTTTGCCAGTTAAAAGCACTGGTTACTTTCCCATAGAACGTGGGTTTGACTCCCAGCACTAATCCACATGGTGACAGTGATGCAACAGACATACATGAAAGCAAGACACACACCTGGGCACATACACACATATATACACGCACCCCACCCCATGGCTTCTCCCCCTCCCCCCACCACTCAGGCAGCCCTATTTAAATTTATTAGTTCAGTGGTCCCACACACAGGAAAGTAGAAAGGGCCTTGATGGAAGGTTTTCAGGAAAGGAGTATGGATGAGACAGGATGATAGTGAAAAGAACTAAAATTCACTAAATATATGAAACTATCTAAGAAAAAAAGCTAAAGAAATTAGCCTGGCACTGGTGGCGCACACCTTTAATCCCAGCACTCGGAAGGCAGAGGCAGGCCGATCTCTGTGAGTTGGAGACCAGCCTGGTCTACAGAGCGAGTTCCAGGACAACCAAAGCTACACACAGAGAAACCCTGTCAGGTGGTGGGGAGGACCTCTTGGCTGTGGTGAAATACACCTTTAATCTTAGCACTTGGGAGGCACAAATAATTAGATCTCTGTGAGTTCAAGGCCAACTCTGTCTACATAATGAAATCCAGGCCACTCAGGCTACATAGTAAGACTGTCTCACAAACAATAAAATGTTTAATTTTTTCTAAAGAGTTCTAAAGATAGTATTTATTGCATAGTATGAGATTCCATTAATTATTTAGCCACCCCCATAAACCACTAAACACTTTTACTATAATGCTACTTTGAATAAATGTTTAAACTAATTTGATGTTTAAATACAACATGCATAAGAATCAGGACAGCAGTCTGCATGATGGTGCATGCCTTTGGTGCCAGCACTTGGGAGGCAGAGGGCTAAGTTGGTAGACATAGTGAGATCCAGGCCAGCCAGGGCTACATAACATAGTGAGACCTTGTCTCAAATAACTAATAAAATTAGAATAAAAAGTAAAGGCGACACAACAATAATTTTGAAATATAAAAAAACTAAACTTTTTGTTGTTGTTTTTCAAGACAGTGTTTCTCTGTATTGTTTTGGAGGCTGTCCTGGAACTCACTCTGTAGACCAGGCTGGCCTGGAACTCATGGAGATCCGCCTGCCTCTGCCTCCTGAGTGCTGGGATTAAAGGTGTGGGCCACCAATGCCCGGCTAAACTTACCTTTTATACTGATGAGTTGAATAACAAAAAGTCAATTTACTAGAGGATATAAAGTAGTCCCATCAAGGACAAAAGCAATGTATGATTAAACTCTAATTTAAAAGTTAGTTAAGAGCCTGGCAAGGTGGCACACACCTTTAATCCCAGCACTAGGGAGGCATAGGCCATCCTGGTCTACAAAGTGATCTCCAGGACAGCCATGACTATTACACAGAGAAACTCTGTCTGGAAAAACAAAAAATTAGTGTCCATGTAGGTGTATGTGTGTGGTGCATGCTTGTCATGCACCAGAGGCAGAGGGCAATTCATAGGAGTCAGTTCCTGTCCTTCCCTTATGGAGGACCCAGCGACTGAACTCATCAGGTTTGGCCATATCACTGGTGAAAGTTCCCTCAAGTAGACAATCAATGTGTTTGCTCATTAGTCCAATTGTTGTTTTGAGAGGGGAAGGGCACAACAATCGTTGGGGCACGTGTGGTCACATCTGAATAGGGTGGCTCCCTGGCACCCCTAGGAGAAATGCAAGCTCTTTGGTGCTGTATCAATGCCCTTTATGGGGTCAACAACTTTTTTCCCTCTGACAAAACTATCTTCTTGTGTCCTTGCCCCTCATATTTGAAGTATTGTATTCTTTGCAGTGCTGGATATCAATCCTAGCACCTCAGCCATGCTAGGTAAGTACCCTACAACTCAGATGACATTTAACCCCAACACTTTTTACTTTTTTTTTGTATGTCCACATTCCTGTGGGTACATGCAAGTGTGGAGACAGGAGGATCAGAGGTGTGGGGTGTTTTTGGATCATTCTACCTTTTGTTTAAAAGATGTTACAGCATTTACTTAGTTCGGGGGTGGGGTGGGGAGGGGGCGCTGTGAAAGTCTGAGGGTAACTTGCTGGAGTCAGTTCTTTCCGACATAGGACAGAGCTCCAGATGTCAATTCTTTACTGATGGAACCATCCAAACGGCCGGCCCTATCTTATTAATCTTATTTCAAGAGATTTGTGTGCCGTATGGGTGTCGTGTCCCCCAACTCCCCTCCCCCCAAAAGTTGAAGTTGAAGCAGGACGATCTGGCTACTCTGGCTGGCCAATGAGCTCTAGGAGTCTCCTGTGGAGACAGAATCCCGCCAGGCGCAGCAGTCTTTTTTTTAAGAGCGGGTGTTAGGGTTACAACCCAGGTTTTCGAATATCACGCATTTTATCTACTAAGCTATTCCCCAGCCAAAAATGTGCATCTTGGAGGCAGCAGAGATGGTAGATTAAAATGAGGGAAGAGTGGACACAGGTTCCTTACATAAAAAACCGGAGGACGCCTGCCTTTAGGGACATTTAGAGTGCAGCAGGAAGGACACTGGGTTGTGAGGCGGAGGACTGGGAGAGGGCGCAACCCGCTTTAACTGGCCTGTTTTGCCCATTTCTTCGGGACAGCACAAGTTCCTGAGCATTTTTCCCAGGATGGACAATCTCCAGGTCCAATCTTGTGGCCGAGGACTAGACAGTCATTCTGCAGGCTTCCCTATGGGATGGCTTTTAAACGTGCAAAGACGAACATTCCGCTATATCCAACCGTTTCGCACTAGGGAGACACGTGCGGCTCGGAAGCTTCCTGAGGCCGGGGAGGGGCAGCTGAGGGCCAGGAGGGCTTCACGGAGACCGCAGCCGCTCCCGGGAGACTCGCTCCGGGCCGCAGTTGGCGGAGGGGACACCGGACGCGCCCGGTACTCGGCAAACCCTCGGCGCCAAACAACTTCCGGCGAGCTCCCCGGCCTTCCAGGCATTTCCGGCGAGGACCCACCCTCGCGCCGCCCGTCGGGGCCATCCCCGTCCTCACCTGACTCTCTAACCCCGCCTCCAGAGCTCAGAGACTGTAGCCAGATACCCCGGATGTGTGGAATTGCATCTTGGGACCAGTAGTTTTAGCAAGAAAAAAGCGGCGAAAAACTACAACTCCCAGACAGACTTGTGTTACCTCTTTTCTCATGCTAACAGGCCCCTTTAGAGGAAAGCCCCTCTTAGTCGCATCGACTGTGTGTGTAAGAAAGCCGTTTGAAACATTTTAATGTGGAGCACACCGTTTCGAGGTCCGAAATGAGGAAAAGAGCGTAGAGGAATGGAGCGCCGAGCTCGTCTGGCAGTGCGTTAGACAGCCGCGGGCGGCGCGGCGCGCAGGCACTTGCGTGGACGCCTAGGGGGCGGGCCCTCCGGCCGGGAAACCCCGTTGGCCCGCGCGGCCCTTCCTTTCCGAGCCGCCATCCGTGGTGAGTGTGTGCTGCGCGCTGCGGCTCCGGCCGGAGCCCTCCTGCATCGCTCCCACCGGTGCCTACGGTCTAATCCGTCTCTTTTCGAATGCAGGTGGATCCGCCGCCAACATGCAGATTTTCGTGAAGACCCTCACGGGGAAAACCATCACGCTCGAGGTAGAGCCCGGCGGCGTGAGAAGCGGGGCCCGCCGAGGCCCCGGGTGCCCGCTCCGGGCTTGGGAGCGCCGGCCAACTTGAAGCTCTGAGCTCAGGATGGGTGGCTTTACCAGCGCCAGGGGTCGGTTTCGGGCGCCGGAAGCTTGCGCCTGCCGCATGCCGAGCGGCCAAGTGAAGGGTGTGCAACGGGAAATGCTGCTCGCTGGGCAGGCTCGGGCGCGTGGCCTGGCGGCCGGCGCTCGCCCTCCTCGGGAGCCGAGTTAGCTTGTAGCGCGGGGAGGAGGTCGCCTTCACTGAATAGGTGCCAACCCGCCGGCTCCCGGCTCGGTTTGTGTGAGGGCCATGCGATGAGATTGGTGGCGTGGCTTCTTACTGTGACTGCATGTTAACTGTATGTCAAAACTTGTAGGTTGAACCCTCGGACACTATAGAAAATGTAAAAGCCAAGATCCAGGATAAGGAAGGCAAGTAATGTTTTGTCGCTAGGGAAATATCGGGCTTCTATTATTTAAGCAAGTGCTTGGGAACTATGGAAGCAGTTTCTCCACGTGTGAACTTATTAATTTCCTTTCCCTGTTAACTGATTCGTAGAGACTATTAATTTGTATTAAATGTTCAAACATGTCCAACATTAAGGAAAACGCTTAGTGTCTAGTAAGTCAATGACTGCTGTTAGCAATTTTATACAGAATTATCTGTAACTTGGGGCATGCACCTAGTTTGACCTAACCCATTATGTTTTTCTTGCAATTAGGAATTCCTCCTGACCAGCAGAGGCTGATCTTTGCTGGTAAGCAGCTGGAAGATGGCCGCACGTTGTCTGACTACAACATCCAAAAGGTTTGTGTGAGAAAACTTCCCAGACAGGGGAGAAAGCATTAAGTTGCCATGTGAATCCACTAACATCTACTTCCCAAGCATAGAAGGGTGGGTGCGGTGGTTGCTGCCGGCAGGCTGCAGTCAGAATCGCTGAGGCCTCTGTCACCCTTGACTAACAGGAGTCCACCCTTCACCTTGTGTTGAGACTTCGTGGTGGTGCTAAGAAGAGGAAGAAGAAGTCTTACACTACTCCCAAGAAGAATAAGCATAAGAGAAAGAAGGTTAAGTTGGCTGTGCTGAAGTACTATAAGGTGAGCTGCTTAAGGGTCGTGCCAGCAAAGCCAGTGGTGTGTTTGAAACAGGTGCTTAGAGGTTGACATAAAGAACTAGAAATTCTTAAGGTATTTTATATGTACATGTTTGGATTTGAGTAAAGGAGATTGGGAATGTCAGATTCCCTAGAGCTGAAATTTCTTTTTTATATGTTTATGTGTACAAGTATGTTTTTGCATGAGTAAGGAAGAAGGGATGTCAGATCTCTTAGAGCTGAAGTTAAAGGCAGTTGTGGGTGCTGGAAACTGAACTCAAGGTCCTCAGCAAGAACAGTATGCTCACAATAGTCTGATCTGGCACCCTTGCACAGACATTCATACAGGCAAAATGCACATAAAGATTAAAGAAACCTTGAAAACCGCATTCGCTCTTAACCACTGAGCCATCTGCTTCATGGCCTCCAAAATGCACTAGAGATTAAATGCACTAGAGATTACTGCTGTGAGATTAACAGCTTGAGCCATTTAAAACTTCAGGGTGGCGCACACCTTTAATCCCAGCACTTGGGAGGCAGACGGATCTCTGAGTATGAGGCCAGCCTGGTCTACAAGAGTTAGTTCCAGGACAGCCTCCAAAGCCACAGAGAAACCCTGGCTCGGGAAAAAAAACTTCAGGATGTGTTTTGTGAAATTGTTGTCTTAGAGTAAATTTTCATTTTTCAGGTGGATGAAAATGGCAAAATCAGTCGCCTTCGTCGAGAGTGTCCATCTGATGAATGTGGTGCTGGAGTTTTCATGGCTAGTCACTTTGACAGACATTACTGTGGCAAGTGTTGTCTGACTTACTGCTTCAACAAACCAGAGGACAAGTAGTTGTGTATGAATAAATAAAGACACAGGAACTGGTGCTTAGTGTTGAGTTTTATTCTGCATGCTTCTTGGGCTGTGTGACTAGTCCTTTTGGGATTCCTGCCTGAGAGGTACCAACTGCATGGCAAAGACTTTGCTGCATTCAGAATCTAAGCCAGTTTTCCTGACTTGCACTGTAGGCACTTGGGTTCCTTAGGGGTTGGGGAATGTCCTGTGCCTTAGAGAATTAGTCTCTGTTCATGGAATGAGAGAAGCCACCACCCTTTCATTCTTACTTTAAGGCATGACAGTATATCACAAAAAAGATGAATTCAATACTCGGGCTGGAGAGGTGGCTGAGGTTAAGAGCACTAGCTGCTCTTGGGAGTCCTGGGTTCCAATTCCCAGCAACCACATGATTCACAACCATCTGTAGTGAGGTCCAAAGTCCTCTTGTGTGATACAGGGATCCATGCAAGTACATCACTCATTCAATGTTCTAAAGCATCCTGTCCTGAGTCACAGATAGGTGCTGGCTATAGTATAAGGAAGTATACTCCCTATTGGTATGTGCATGAACTTAGGGAGTTAATGTTGTAATTTGGGCTGTTGATTTGGGACAGTCTTTGTAGCTGGCTGGTCTTTGAACTTGGGAGATCCTCTTGAGTGCTGGGATTAAAGGTGCCTGGCTCACTGGTAATTTTTATCTCCAATAAGGCAAAGATACTTGCTATATAAGAAAAAGAAGCTGGGCACATGGTAGTACATGGTTAAATTTTAAATACTTGGCGAGGCTGGGCATGAGGTTACTATCAGCTTGTGTTAAGTATCAAGACCCTGTCTTTAAATAAAGGAAACAATACATTTATCATTTTTATTGTACTTTTAAAATCCTGGATCCCAAGAAGTCTTAGCTGGAATTTCATTTTCCTCATAACAAACAACTTCATCTCCCACCTTAAATTCTACTTTTTCTTCATCTAAAATAAGACCACAATCCATTCCAGTTTTGATGACTGAAACATCATCTTTATGGTGTTTCAGTGAGGTTAATGAGCCTTAAAAGAAAAACAAGGCACTGTTAGTAAACGCAACAAATATCTACTAAATGATAATTTGGTGTAACATGGTTCTCTAACTTGATGTGGGTTTTGTATAAAACTCAAGGTGTCAGGCTTATGTGGCAAGTGCCTTTACCTGCTGAGCTATTTGCCCGTGCCTTCCCACACAACATACACATTAGGTAAGAGTAAATACCAGGGAAGTCATTTGAATGTTGAACTGATTGAGCTGAAATCTCACATTTTAAAGGTAGTCTAAAATACACTCTTAAGGAAGGGGCCTTGGGACAAAACACAGAATACAAGCACCTGGGAGGCACATCCAAATCAGAGTTTAAGGCCAGCCTGAGTTCCAGGACAGGCTACAAACAAACCCTGTCTCAAAAAAAAAACAAAAAAAACAAAAAAAATGGGTTGTAGAGACAGAAAAGGTATGTTTTTTTGTTTTGTTTTGTTTTTTAACAAAACCAAGACTAGTCCTGGGATGTCATCAGAACTAATTGGGAAGGAGACTATCAGAAATGGCATAAACTAAAGCTAGGCAACTGAAAAATACATAGGTTTGGATGCTACCACCATCAGAATTTTGTGATTAGGATTTAGAAATAGATTTTAATACTGCTTACCTTTCCAAATAACTTGTCCATTTCGGATTAATTTAAACTTCTTCTGTTTTTCTAACTGTCCCTTTTGAACTCTGCAGCCAGCCACAGGAACTTTTCTCTTCCCTTCTGTTACAGAGAAGGTAGCTAGTATGCAAGCCTCACCTTTAGGAAGAAAGCAATGAAAGAAAGTGTAGTGGCTGGAAGCAGATGATCTACACAATGTAAATTCCAGGCTAGCCAGCACTACATATTGATACTGTCTTTAAAACAAAAAACAAAATTAGTTTGGGAAATAGTATTTCTTCGATATCACCAATTTTATTTTCAGAACCAACAACAGGTGAAAAATCCCAAGGGCTGGAGAGATGCCTTAGTAGTTAAAAACTGACCGTGGCCTGCTGGTTCATGAGCATCTGTAACTCTAGTCCCAGGGGATCCAGCATTCAATTCTGGTCTCTGAAGGCACTGACCAGACATGTGCATAGACTGACATGCAGGTAAAACACCCATAAACATAAAAATCTCTGTTCCATGAAAATCCACTGTAGCTGAGTGGTGGTGGTGGTGGTGGTGGTGCACACCTTTAATCCCAATACTTGGGAGGCAGAGGCAGGCACAGGCAAATGAATCTCTTGAGATTGAGGCCAAGTCTGGTTAACAGAGAAGTTCCAGGATGGCCAGGACTACATAGAGAAACCCTGTCTCAAATAGAAAAACAACAAAACCTGCTGTTTGGCTTTCCTTTAATACATCTTTTCTTTTTTCTGGTTTATTTGAGACAGGGTTTCACTGTGCAGTCCTGGCTGTCCTGGAACTCACTCTGTAGACCTGGCTGGCCTCAGGGATCTGCCTCTGCCTCCCAAGCCACTGTTCAGCTCGATGTATTTTATTTTCTAAAGCAGATTGTTGTCATCTTTAAATCACTTTAGGGTATTGTTGTTGATATATATATAAACACTAATTTGTAACTTAAGTTCTAACAACAAAGTGACCAATTTTGAATGTTTCCTGACTAGTGGGTAACAGTAATATTTGGTGTATCCACTTACTTCTGGAAACTCTCAGTTGACTTCCAAATTGTTCTTGGTACAAAAACGCAGTATTTTTGTATACTGTGGTCGTATTTATTCTAAACTAAATCTATATAGATCCAAACTACAAAACCAGGTCTTACAAGGGAACAAACATGGTAAATGAAGTTGCTGATCTTTACATTTTAAAAATGTTAAGATCAAAGGGATGGATGAAAGAATTATTCTAAACCAAATAGGATTATAAGACAGATGACAACTACATGTAATTTTTGAGCCTTATCTAGGTGAACAATCTACTTAAAACATATTGTGGGGGCCAAGGCACAGACCTGATCCCAGGACTTGGGTGCTGAAGATGAAGATCAGAAATTCAAGGCTATCCTTGGGTACACAGCTGGACATGATACCCTGTCTAAAAACTAGACAAAATCTGATCATAGATTGGACTATTAGGATTAATATTTAGTACTTCACAATTTTAAATAAATTTAGCCTTTAATCCAGACAAAAATATGTTAGAATACTTTAAAATATTTAGTATTTAATATGCTTTCAATGTGTATTTATTTGCTAGTCTCAGGACAAAACCAAAGGTTTAGCCTGTATTACCATCACTGTTCACATGTAGACTTGAGGCAAGTTCTTGGTCCCTTTGTTTGGTTTTGTATCCTCTAGGCTTAAATTAACTGTTGTACAGATCATACAAGTCACCATGAATTCTCATCTCATTTTTTTCTAGAACATAAGCCTTGTATTGAAACAGCAAATCTGTTTCCCTAAGCTTTGCTTTTAGGTACTGTTTACAGCGTCTGAGGTGGTGTTGGAAAGTTGCAGTCAGCACTCACCTATTGGGTATTCCTCCAGCCTGTGGGGCAATCTGCTGCTTAGTTCCTCCTGCAAATCTTCAATAAGATGGTAGATGATTTTGTGAAGTTTAATCTTAACTCCCTTTTGTGCAGCTGATTGCTGGATAGCCTTGCCTGCACCCACATTAAAACCATAAATGATGCCTAGCAAGGAGAAACAAGAGGGATACACTAGCACCAGCATTACAGTACAATCATTTTCTTGTCTCTGAGGCAGAAAGTCAAACTGAGTTGTTTTACTTCCTTCTTTGTAAATTACAGTGCTATTGAGAAGCTCTGTGACTGTTCTCATGGAAACTAGGAAAATTTCAACTATTTTTATTACTGATTTTATAAATTGTATCTTGTTTACAAAGGAGTTTTCTTTATGATTGAAAACAATTTTTTAGATTTACTGTGAGTGTTCTGCTTGCATGTATAGTGTGTAAGCATGCCTGGTGCCTGAGGTGGTTAGGAGACGTCAGCTTTCCTGGCACTGGCACTGCAAGGCCACAGATGAAGTAAAATACTGAACAGACTGCTAACAGCGAGCAATTCAAACGGTAGTGAAAGACACCTGCAGTGAGTGTGGACCTGGGGACCAGGGCAATAAAAACAAACAAACAAACAAAAAGGAACAGCACTCGTCTTTTGGTCTTGCAATAGTTCCCAAGGTTGCAGTGGTCATGACAGATAGACTGTCTGTGGTTATCCATGCACTGAGAAGGAGAATGCTGGCCGATGATCAGCCAGTCACAAGACACAAGTAAAAAGGTTCAGCTAAGATAGGTTCACACAGATTAATATACAGTCGACAGAATCTTTACCATCAAATGTCTCAGCAAAGTTGACATCATTTTCACTAATGTCACCCAATCCAAAATGTACTAATTCTAGTTCACATTCATGGGAAGCATCATAGGTGTCCAGAAGGTTCAAGATGGCTTCCACAGACCCATCAACGTCACCTACAGACACAGCAAGTTTAAAATGTGTTAGCTGTAACAGGCAGGTTACAGAATCTGTTTTAAAGCCAAGACAGGATGGTTTTATCACTAAAAGCACTTTAAGTTAAGCATTATAAGACCTTACTGATAAAATACAAAGAAGCATACATTTACAATGAAATCAATACAAGCTACACTTGCTCAGAAAAAAATTTTGAACATCAAACCACTGAGATAGTATCTACTTTAAGGGTTTGCTGGGGCAGTGGACATCTGTAACCTGGGCATTTCTAAAGCTGGGCAGGAGGAAAGGTCAGCCTGGCTTCTAGGGCAAGCCCAAGTTATTTTGGCCATTCCCTCAGCCCCCTCCAATAAATAAATAAAGGAGAGGGGGTCCAAATTATGAGGATAAAAAATAGATTAAAATGGTGAATTGTAAAGTAAAACCTTCAAAAAGTTACCTTTAATAATTATAGGAAGCACATTTGAGTCCTTTTCTGCCTTTTCTTTGGGCTTTAAGGGTCTTTGTTCTTTTCTCTCAAGATACTTTATGTATGACCTCTTCTTCCAGTGCAGACTGCCATACTTCTCACGGGCTTTTCGATGGGCTTCTTGGTGCTCCTTTCTCTGTTCTTCCATCACTTTCAGGTCATCTCTGTCTTTTTCCTCTTTCTGCTCAATCTTCCTCCAGTCAACAACTTCTCGGGCCCTGGGCTTTACAGGGAAACGGTCATGACTTACTGAAACAGACACCAGTGTCTGCTAGGTTAAAAGCTCATGCTTTCTCTATTATGAACTCAATTTAATTCATATGTGAAAACACTAATTTTACAAATTTCAAAAAGTAAAAGATTAGGAATATTGCATACAATTAAAACAATTTTAAAAACCGATCTGAAAACACACAATACTATAGTTAAATACTAAAATGGTTCTCTGGTCTCTTGACAGCCCCTTACAAACTATAATTATGTTAACATTAGCACTCTATTTTTGTTTTGTTTTGTTTTTTGAGGCAGGGTTTCTCTGTGGCTTTGGAGCCTGTCCTGGAACTCACTCTGTAGACCAGGCTGGCCTTGACCTCACAGAGATCCACCTGCCTCTGCCTCCAGAGTGCTGGATTAAAGGTGTGCGCCTCCACTGCCCGGTCAACTTTAGCACTTTTATTAAATATTAAACATTATAGACCTGTACGTAAAGCCATCATTAATATCTAACATTCAAGAATTAGGCTTGCATACCTCAGATTCTACTTCAAGAATTTCATCTCCTGCAGAAGGGAGGTCTCTCCAGCCTACGATTCCCACAGGCATGCTGGGATAGGCCTCATTAAGTGTTCTTCCATTTTCATCAAACATTAGTCGAACTTTTGCCCAACTCCTTCCAGCAACTAGAATTGAGCCTTTTCTTAGGGTTCCTCTTTGGATTATAGCTGTTGTAACAGGACTAAAAAGAACATAAAAAGTAAATATTCTTAATGCTATAATCAGGATATAATTGTACTTTCTTTTTTTTTTTTAAATTTAAAAAGTTTTATTATATGTGCATTGGTGTTTTGCCACATGTGTTGGTTGGGTCCCCTGGAACTGGAGTTACAGACAGTTCTGAGCTGCCGTGTGGGTGGGTGTTGGGAATTGAACGAAGGTCCTCTAGAGAGCAACCAGTGTCTCTACCACTGAGCCATATCTCCAGCCTGTAATTGTGCTTTTGTTTTTGTTTTTGCGAGACAGGGTTTCTCTGTAGCTTTGGAGGCTATCCTGGAACTAGCTCTTGTAGACCAGGATGGTCTCGAACTCACAGAGATCTGCCTCCCGAGTGCTGGGATTAAAGGCGTGCGCCACCAACGCCCGGCTCGCCCTGTGCTTTCTTAAGTAGAGCAAAAATAGCTTTATGAAGCACATACAGACACAAACCCCTATTAGTAGAGAGGATTAATTTCCTTCTCAATTTCTCAAGCAGCTTTGGATACTACAAAGACATTTATTAGCTCAAGGATTTATCAGGGTATACTTGCCTAACGTGCAAAACCCCAGGCTTTTGTTTTTCGGTGTGGTTGTGTGGGATTTATGTGTCTAAGTGTTTCACTTGCATGTATGTGTGTGTGTGTGTATGTGTGTGTGTGTGTGTGTGTGTGTGTGTATGTGTGTGTGTGTGTGCGTATGTATGTATGTATGTATGTATGTATGTATGTATGTATGTATGTATGTACGTGCACCACATGCTCCTCTGGCGCTCTCAGAAGGCATCAGATTCCTGGAACTGGAATCATTGCTATGAGGCACCATAAAGGTGCAGAGAACTGAATCTGGGTCCTCTGCAAAGGCAGCAGGTGCTCTTAACTGAGGAGTCATTTCTCTAGGTCCTCAGTGTGGTTCTTTTCCTTCCTTCCTTCCTTCCTTCCTTCCTTCCTTCCTTCCTTCCTTCCTTCCTTCCTTCCTTCCTTCCTTCCTTTTTTTTGGTTTTTCTAGACAGGGTTTCTCTGTGTAGCCCTGGCTACACAGAGATCCACCTGCCTCTGCCTCCCGAGGGCTGGAGTTATAAAGGTGTGCACCACCATCGCCCAGCCAGTCCCAAATTTTTCAACAGATGAATGTTCAAAGAAGATGCAGTAAACACATGAAGGGCCCTGTCTCCTGCAGAGACAAGGCAATCTTGAATGTCAAGTCCTGCGTGACTGCACTAACAGAGTATTTAAGCAGGGGAAGGAACCATGGCAGATTGTTCTGATTCAATCCTATCCCATTTTCTATCTCATTTTACACATGGGTTATGAGACTGTTCATAACTGCTAATAGTGTACAAAGCAACGAGAAAATCTCTTGTGCTTATAAGCAGAACATTCAAGAAGAAAATGCCATTACAAAGACCTTCCTACATATTAGATTCTTGGGTCAAGTTAAATGATTTCACTCCAATTCATTGTCAGTCTAACTATAAATGTAAATATCTGGCCCAGTGAGGGGAAAAAGTCAAACCAATTTAACTATTTTAGTCATCTAAGTGTGACTAGGTATATGTATATATACAGTTGGTATGATTTACTGACTTCAGTTTTGTGGTCTGTGTACTAGTGCAATAAAATACATTGAAAACATTCTTTGAAAATATAGTTCAAAAACTAAAACTATGCAGTATATATTTTGTCATATAACCAAGTCACAAGAACCACCAAATAAATTTATTAGAGTCTTACCCTCTTCCTTTGTCAGTGAAAGACTCTATTACTGTTCCTTCCACTGGACCTGTAGGATCTGCTTTCAGCTCCAGCATTTCCGAGAGAGCAACTGTTGCTTCTGCCAAAGCAGTCAGATTATCTCCCTTTAACAAGAAAGATTAATACACATCAGCAGATAATATTAGTAAATGGAAGGGTAACCAGGATGAATAATCTTTTGACAGCTAGTTTTCTTTCTCTTTCTTTTATTTTTTTGGGTTTTTGGAGACAGGGTTTCTCTGTGGCTTTGGAGCCTGTCCTAGAACTCGCTACTGTAGACCAGGCTGGCCTTGAACTCACAGAGATTCACCTGCCTCTGCCTCCCAAGTGCTGGGATTAAAGGTGTGTGTCACCAACACCCGGCTACAGTTTTCTTTTTAAGAATTAAAATCATGAAATAACCAATTTTATAGAAATAGGAAAAGGAGGCAGAGAACTATCAAGAAGAACACCTGACTCCAGGATGAATATTTAAAGGAACAAGAATATAGACTTAGACAAATATATATATTTGGCTTTTCCAGACAAGGTTTCCCTTTGTAGCCCTGGCTGTTCTGGAACTTGCTCTGCAGACCAGGCTGGCCTCGAACTCAGAGATCGGCCTGCCTCTGCCGCTCAAGTGCCGGGAATAAAGGCGTGCGCCACCACCTGGCTGTAACAAGTATATTTTATTATTATTATTATTTTTTTTTTTTTGGTTTTTCGAGACAGGGTTTCTCTGTATTGTTTTGGAGGCTGTCCTGGAACTCACTCTGTAGACCAGGCTGGCCTCGAACTCACAGAAATCCGCCTGCCTCTGCCTCCCAAGTGCTGGGATTAAAGGCGTGTGCCACCAACGCCCGGCTAACAAGTATATTTTAATAGACAGCCACTAATGGTACTCACTAATACCTTTGATAAACCAGGTTTATTCAGTTCATTCTCTGTCTCCTCTACCTGTTTCTACAATTGCAGTTTATGTGCAGCAAGTACATGCCTGGGGCTAGAAGAAGCCACAGAAGGAAAGTGAGTTACTGCCAGGTGTGAGTCACCATGTGAGTACTGGGAGTAAAACCCAGATCTCCTGAAAGAGCAGTTAGGGGCTCTTAACTACTGAGTTGTCTCTCCAGCATCCGTGTTCTGTATGTCTTAAAAACAGTGTCACACCATAGCCCATGTTTGCCAGGAAGTCACTGCTCACTACGGAACCCAGGCTGGTCTCGAATTCACATCACTCCTCCTTGTGATTCAGTCTCCCAACTGCTGGGATCACAGACATGAGCCACTGTATATGGACACAACTGTGCTTTCTTCTTCTCATAAACCTTCTTAATGATGCAACTTTATGTTTCAAAATTATCCAGTGGAAGCTGTGTGTTGGTGGTGGTGCACGCCTTTAATCCCAGCACTTGGGAGGCAGAGGCAGGCGGATCTCTGTGAGTTCGAGGCTGGGCTAGACCGACAGCCTCGAAAACAATACAGAGAAACGCTGTCTCGTTAAAACAAACAAATAAACAAACAAACAAACAAATTTGCTCAGGCTGGCCTCAAACTTGCTATCCTCCTGCCTCAGCCTCCTGGTTAGCTATGATAACATGACTGGCCAACTCTTTAAATATTTTAGCCTTGGCATCTTACTTTTAGAGCACAATAAAATAGATGACATTTTAAAACCTAAGAGGAGACACAGTTTTAATATTAAGAGAAACATAATTCCTAAGCATCTTAGAGAGGCCAAATTTAGGGACAATAAAGATGAAATAAAATCTTATTAGAAAAATAACAGCATCCAGAACTATCCCTTCAGTGAATGAATGTGTGTGTGGGTGTCATTATGAGGAAATTGTGAACTATGAAATGAGTGAGCCAAGGAAATCATGACTCAGTAGCAGCCTGAAGAGAACTGGAAGATGCTGACCTAGGGTGAGTTATGAGCTCTAGGTCATAACTAGAGAGTAAATATGGCTATGATTTCCATCAAGAGAGCAAGTAAGTGGTAACTTACAATAAAATGGAGTTCAACATAAATACATTTGGAAAAAACACATTAGTGCACCGATGCAACCAATGAGCAACAACAAACCAGCCTGTATAGCACTTTGCTTCTTGTTATGGGAAAATACGTAATAAGCAAGTCAAGTTAGGCTTATTGTGGCCCGTGTGAACATGGGAAAGTCCTGACGGCAGGAACATGTTGTAACTGATGAGGGGTGTGGTTGGCACGCTGCTTCATCCTCACAACAGTTAACTGAATCTAGATGATCCATCACAAGCTACTGGCAGTTGGTGGCTTCGTGAGGGAGTGTCGGTTCTCCTCAGGGAGGTGACACTGGAGAGCTGCGCATGCTCCAGTGGGTGGCCTACAGCAGTGGACTCACTGAATTTAAAAAAAAGGTCTTCAAGTTGGGAGGGAAACGTGTGTGTGGGGTTATAGGAGGAGGTATGTGATCAAAATACATTATATACACCGGGCATTGGTGGCTTTAATTCCAGCACTTAGGAGGCAAGGGCAGGTAGATCTCTTTGAATCCGATGCCAGCCTGGTCTACAGAGTGAGTTCTAGGATAGCCAGGGTTACATAAAGAAACCCTATCTTGGAAAACAACAACAACAAAAAATTCAAAACATATACAAATTCTCAAACAATAAAGCTTCTTGAGAAGGGATCTAACTGTGTAGCCAGCCCTGCTATGTGGACCAAGCTGACCTCAAACGCCAGAGTTCTACCTGTCTCTGTCTCCCAGGTACTGGGATTAAAAGTGTATGCTCCCAACTCTCTGAGTCCAGTTCCTAATCTGCCAAATCAAGACAATGTCACCTTGCCTAGTACTCAGAGTGAGTGAGAGAGAGAGGGGGAGGGAGAGAGGGAGGGAGGGAGGGAGGGAGGGAGGGAGGGAGGGAGGGAACCACACGGTGGTTCACAACCATCTATAAGTCCAGTTCCAGGGAATCCAACATCTTCTGGCCTCCAGAGCGCTGCATTCATGTGTGCACTGCCATGCATGCACACAAAACACCCACACACAAAGTAATAAAATACAAATTAAGTATCTCAAAATGTATTTTAAGGGGCTAGGGATGTAGCTGAGTTAGTAGAACACTTACCCCTCATGCATTAAGGTTTGATGCCCAACACTGCAAAAACCCAGTATAGTGGGACACTACTGTAATTCCATCACTTGGGCTACATAGGTAGTTTGAGACTGTCTCAAGAAATTAAGAATTGGCCAGTTGAGGTGGCACACACCTTTAATCCCAGCACTTGGGAGGCAGAGACAGCAGGACTGTTACGTGTTTCAGGCCAGCCAGGTCTACTTAGTGATTTCCACGTCAGTCAGAGAGACCCTAGGTCAAATCAAACAAAGTGTTCTTGGCTAAGCGCCGCTGTGCAGGCTCTCCAGCGTCACAGCAAGCCCTCTGCTCGTGACACCCGCACTCACCGTAAGTGCAGAGACATGCACTGCCTGCACATCGCCGCCGTAATCCTCACACACCACATCGTAAGCCAGAAGCTCTTTCTTCACTTTCTCAGGATCAGCATCTGCTTTGTCGCATTTATTTATTGCAAGAACAATAGGAACTGGAAGAGAGGAAGTCAGGAAAGGTGCAAATGAAAACCCTTTAGTTCTAGACACTCATTAGAAACGCCAACCCACTCTGACGTTCTCTTCACTAAAAGAGCCACTTTAGACTCACTGTCCCTCTGTTGTCTATACAGAAGAAAAAGAAGGCCAGAGACAAGGTTCAGTGGTTTAGAACACTGGCTCTGCTAAGGTATAGTGGCACTCTCCTTTAATCTCAACACTCAGGAGGCAGAGGCAGGTGGATCTCTTTGAGTTCAAAGCCAACCTGGTCTAGAAAGTGAATTCCAGGACAGCCAGGGCTATACAGAAAAACCCTGTCTTGGAGAAAAAGGAAAAAAAAAAAAAAAAAGACAGAGTCATACTATGTATCCTTGGCTAGCGCGAACTTGCTATGTAAACCAGGCTAGTCTTTTTTTTTTTTTTTTTTTTTGGTTTTTTGAGACAGGGTTTCTCTGTATTGTTTTGGAGCCTGTCCTGAAAGTCTGTAGACCAGGCTGGCCTCGAACTCACAGAGATCCTCCTGCATCTGCCTCCCGGCCACCAATGTCCAGCTACTTTGTTTTTTTAAAGGACACAAAAGTTGGGTGAATGAAGAGTGATAAATCTGGAATGTTAGGGGAGGAAAGATGAATATGATTAAAAAACATACAAAACTCCCAAAGAAAAAATAAAAAGATTTTATAAAAGGGTAATTTATTTTATTTTATGTTTGTGCTTGCCTGCATGCTACATATGTGTACCACATGTGGGCCTTGTATCCTAAGAGGCCAGAAGAGGGCACTGAACCTCCTGGCACTGGAGTTATAGATGGCTGTGAGCTGCCATGTGGGTGCTGAGAACCAAAACCAGGTCCTCTGGAAGAGCATGCAGTGCTCTTAATCGATGAAACACCTCCCTAGTACCCAGAGTTACATCTTTGTTCGTTTCGTTTTAAAACATGGATTCTTGTGTAGCCCTGGCTGTCTTAGAAATCCCTCTGTGTATCAGGCTGTCATTGAACTCAAGAGATCCTCCTGCCTCTGCCTCCCAAGTACTAGGATTAAAGGTGTATGTTGCCATGCCCAGCTATAATCTTTGTAGGCTTGTAAAAAGAAGAAGAAAGGGCCACTTCCTTCCAACTTCTTGATTAGGCACAGCACCTCCCATACCTTGCGCCTCTTGGGCATGCTGAATAGACTCTACAGTTTGCTTCATCACCCCGTCATCTGCAGCTACAACCAGCACAACAATGTCAGTGACCTGAGCTCCTCTGGCTCTCATTGCTGAAAAGGCAGCATGTCCAGGAGTATCAAGAAAGGTTATCTTTTCTCCAGAAGGCAGAGAGACTATGGAAACAGAAATGCAAGGACACCAATTACTCAAATTACTTTTCAACATGAAGGAATATATGATAAAATCGGACATAATGTGCCTCTGTGTGTGTGTGTATCGGTACTGAAATATAAATATATATACTAGTACTCACTAATTCTTTGATTGTTTCCATTACTTTTAACCAGAAGAAAACAGAGTGAAATTTGATAAAGAAAACATAAAATACAATGAGACCATGTGGTCTTTCTTTTCATGTTCTAATTTCAAGCTAAAATTCTTTGTATTTCTAGAATATAGTTGCTCTGATAAATGCATTGAGTACCATTCTGGAGAGAGAACTCAGCAATAGTTGTAGGGTGATCACTTCCACACCAGCAAACTGCAGCTATACAATTATCTTGAGCCACAAAAAGGCAATTTAGTATACAGTGGATAGCTTCAAGTTTGAGTCCAATAATAACAGGTTTAAATCCTAGCTTTGCTAGTTATCAGCTATGTACTTTGGACATGTTACTTAGTCCCTTAGGGGCTTACAGATCATAAGAGAAATATTAATACCTACTGCATGATGTTGTAAAGATAAAAAAAAACAGAGACTATAAAATGCTTAGCACAGTAAGTGCTCAGTAAATGGTAGCTACTATTTAGTTGTTATTAAGATCACTATCCAGCCTACAGCTGATATTATATACACATAATTAAAGAGGTTATGCTCATTAAACCTAAAACAGCAAAAATGGCTTTGTTTTTACAGAAAGTCTGAGATGCTGCTAACTGCCTGCTTTATAACTGATCACCCAGTGGTTTTAATTAGCCTCCTTACTTTGAATCTGTAAACTTCCCAACATGACATGTGATTAAAGAAAACAAGTGGGGTTCCTAAGCACACTCTAATGTTATTGGTGTTCATACCGAGAAAGGCACCAATGTGCTGAGTGATGCCTCCAACTTCCATTGCTGCCACTTGAGTTTTTCGGAGCTTGTCAAGTAACGTTGTTTTCCCATGATCAACATGACCCATTATAGTAACAACCGGGAACCTTGGTGTTAACAAAGCTGGATCTGCCTGGGGCCTACAATTAACAGCAAAGAAGTTTCCTTTCTTAAATGTCAGAAGTAATTGTGAATTGGTTCACAGCTATCACCAAAAGATCCCATTAACAACAAAATACAACAATCGGGTTTGATTAGAAATAACTATCTCCCCCTTTACACAGAACAAGTTATGTCAGAATAGCCAACAATTCCCTGTTTGTTATAAAGTTGGCATCTTCATATTAATGGGTGGAGCTGAACCAAAATTTAAAATTCGGATTAGAGCCAGGCAGGGATGACACACACCTTTAATCCCAGCACTTAGGAGGTAGAGGCAGGCGCATCTCAGTGAGTTTGAGGCCAGCCTGGTCTGCAGAACTAGTTCCAGGACAGCCAGGACTGTTACACAGAGAAGCCCTGTCTCAAAAAAATCAGGAAAAAAACAAAACAAACAAACAAACCCCCCCCCCAAAAAAACCTACTCAGCAAGCTATGAAAAATAAATCACACTTACGGTTTCGTAAAAAGCTGAATATACTTTCTGATGCTTTGAATAAATGTTTACTCTATAGTCACATACCATTTTAACTTCAAAAGAAATTTCAAATTTCCCCATAAGAGGTTGAGTAAAACCACCCGGCTCAGGGTTAGTTAATACACCGGCAAGTGTTACCTTCTTACAGCGTTTTTGTTCTCTCTTACTTTCTCCTGCTTTAATTTGCTCCATCTCAGCTTCATCCCTGCCTTCTTTATTACTTCTTTGATCCAGACTTCATCTAAATGTGAGTTTGCTTCCAGTGAATCCATGTCAAAGGCAGTGTTCAATAAAGCTTCATATATATAATCTGGTTAGGATAAAACATGAATTAAAAGGTTTGAAAAGTGAGTTCTTGGGACTGGAGAGATGGCTCAGCAGTTAAGAGCACTGACTGCTCTTATCGAGGAGGACCTGAGTTAATTCCCAGCAACCACATGGTGGCTCACAACCATCTGTAACTTCAGTCCCAGGGAATTCAATGCCCTCCTCTGGCCTCTGCAGTTACCAGACACACATATGTGTAGGCAAAACACCCATGCACATTAAAAAAAAAAAAAAAAGTAAAATAATAAAAAAATCATTTAAAAATACACTGTTTCAGTCTACGATGTTTCTCTATGTATAAAAATAAAGCTATCCGTAGTGATAAGTAATTTTGTGTTTCCAGACACCCAGCATAATGTACAAGCATAACGTAAAGAATAAACATTAGAGAAAGGTATCCCCAAAAAGCAGAACAAAGGTGGTGCATGTGTCTATAATTCTGCTACTTAGGAGACTGAGGCAGGAGTTAGAGACCAGCCAATAAGGGAGAGAGAGTACAATGAACACGCATTTTAGTGGTGTGTTAGTAAACAGGGAAGCTGTCAACAAAAATTCAATAAAAGGCTGGGCGTTGGTGGCACACGCCTTTCATCCCAGCACTTGGGATGTAGAAGCTGGTGGATCTGCGAGTTCGAGGCCAGCCTGGTCTACAGAGTGAGTTCCAGGATAACTAGGACTACACAGAGTAACTCTGTCTCAAGAAAAGTCAATATAAGAAATTTACAGCACTTTCTAGTCCCCATCACAGAAATCCTTCACTCACAGTTGATTTCAAGCCACCAGCATGTGCAATGGATGCAGATGGGACGAGATGTGTGATTGACACCACTGGGCTGTATTTCCACTAGACAGATATGACAGGTATTAATAACTCAAAGGTAGTAAAAAAAATAAACAGTTAAAGGAAATTACTGGGTACTGAACCCAGGCTGCATACATGCATGGACATGTATATACAACAAATAAATAAGTACAATAAAATAGTTTTAAAAGTTTTCATGAAGCGTTGGTGGCGCATGCCTTTAATCCCGGCACTTGGGAGGCAGAGGCAGCCGAACCTCTGTGAGTTCGAGGCCAGCCTGGTCTCCAAGGGAGTTCCAGGACAGCCTCCAAAACAATAGAGAAACCCTGTCTTGAAAAACAAAAACAGAACAAAACAAAAAAAAAGTTTTCATGAATGTTTACTATCTTTGTTTATGATTTATTCATTGAGAGACCATATCTTATGGAGTTGAGGTAGGTGTTGAATCCCTGATCCTCCTGGCTCAACTTCCTGACTGCTGGGATAGCATGCACATGCCAGCATACCTGACCTGTGATTTAACTTTTTAAAATCAGGTGTCCTGCCGGGCAGTGGTGGCGCACGCCTTTAATCTCAGCACTCAGGAGGCAGAGGCAGGCGGATCTCTGTGAGTTCGAGGCCAGGCTGGACTGACAGCCTCCACTACAGAGAAACCCTGTCTCGTAAAACCAAAAAAACACCAAAACCAAAACCAAAAAAACAGGTGTCCTAGCATGTGTAGAACCCTGAATTCAACCTCAACCTTTAACACTAGGAAAAAGGAAGGAAGGAAGAAAGGAAGGAGGGAGGGAGGGAGGGAAGAAGAGAGAGAGAAGTATAAAAGTGTCATGTAAAAATGTATAATTTTTTTGTCCCCACCCCAAAAATGTATAATTTTTTTAAAAAAGAAAAGCTATATTTATTCCCACAAACCCCTACTGGTCTTAAACAATTTGTCAAACTAGTGAGAAAAAGAAATCAGAAAGTTACAGTTGAAGAATGAGAAATTAGGAACAGGAAAAATGGCTCAGCAGCTAAGAGCACTGGTTACTTTTCCAGGGACCTGGGTTTGATTACACCGGCATCCACATGGCATCTTATAATAACCATGTATAACTCCACTTCTAGGGGACAATGTGTCCTCTTCAGACTTCCTTGAGCACAAAGACATGTAGGCAGGCAAAACATACATAAAATAGTAAGTCTTAAGAAAAACAACTTAGCACCCTGGTGCAAATAAAAGAGGGGAGGGTCTGGGTTTACACTAACAGTCCAGAAATTTTAGGGCCTCTCTAAATAGCTTTGGCTGTCCTGGAATTCACCATACAGACCAGGCTGGACTCAAACTCACAGAGATCCACCTGCCTCTGCCTCCTAAGTGCTGGGATTAAAGGCGTGCACCACCACACGCAGCTGTGAATTTTAATTCTTATTTATTTTAATTGAATTTCATGTGTGTTGGTGTTTTGCCTCCATGCATGTCTGTGCACTCCCTGCATGCCTGATGCCCATGGAGACCACAAGGGGGCATCATATTCCTTGGAACTGGAGTTACAACAGTTGTAAGCTGCCATGTGAGTGCTGAGAACCAAACCTGGGTCTTTTTCATTTTTTGACTTTTTCAAGACAGGGTTTCTCTGTATAGTCTTGGCTGTCCTGGAACTTCCTTTGTAGACCAGGCTGGACTCAAACTCACAGAGATCCATCTGCTTCTGCCTCCCTAGTGCTGGAATTAAAGGCGTGCGCTACCATGCCAAACTTGGGTCTTCTACAAGAGCAGCCACTGCTCCTTTTTATTTTTTGGATGGTGGGGCTTACTGTGTGAGACCTAGCTGGCCTGGAGCTCTTTATGTAGACCAGGTTGGTTTGAATTCACAGCCTTGCAAGTGCTTGGATTAAAGGTGTGTGCCATTAGGTATGGTGTGTAGCCAATTCTCTTAACCTCTCCTGATATCTCTCCAGCCACATAGAAAATCTTTTTCATATTCACTAAAAAAGCTTAGAGAGCTACATTTGAGAGTGAATCAAGAAAGATTAGGGCTTGCAATCTAAAATGAAAAGAATCAGCATAACTTAACCTTTGAAACACTAGTCCAGCTCACCTAGGATGCCTTAACTTCACTGCAAGTGAAACCCAAAGCTTAGCCCAGTGGTGGTGGCACACACCTTTAATCCCAGCACTCAAGAGGCAGAGGCAGGTGAGACTAGACTGATTTACAGAGTGAGTTCCAGGGAAGCCAGGGCTGTTAAATAGAGAGACCTTGTCTTGGAAAAAGGGCCCCAGGATTTTTTCTTGTGAACGTATGAGGCTCACCTATGTCTTTTGCCATTGCTCTGGCTAGTTCTTCGACAGTCATTCCAACCCATACTTCCACATCCCTTTTAGGGTTTATTGGAGACGACTGAGATCTCAATGGTCTTTTTTCCTATTAAAAAGATAGAACATATAAGTGTGAAGGAAGAAAAAATAAATCTGTCTTCGCCCCAGAGACAGGGTTTCTCTGTGTAGCCCTTGTTCTCCTGGTCTTGAATTCAGAGATCCACCTGCCTCTGCCTCCCAAATGTTGGAATTAAAGGCATGCGCCACCATGCCTGGCTGAAGGAAGAAAAATCTAAGGGACAATTTAGATTTATTTTGTTAAATGTACCACAATTACAGATATTCCTACCAGCAAACACTTTTGTAAATACTAAATTACTTAACTAAAAACAGAACTTCCTGTTACCACAAAGATATGTGTAGAATATAGCTTTATGCAATATTCTATAAATGACAAAATAGTCAAAAATATTTCTATACACAGTTCTGCACACTTTGATTTCAGATCAAATAATGTAGATAATATGAATTGGTAACAACCTTGTTTGTTACAAGAAGCCTCTGCTGACATAATGCAGCACCAACAAGCGCATCGGTCGGCCAGGGCCGGACGCATAGCTGCTCTGCCCGTAGTGGGTGAGCTGGTGAAAGCCCACGCTTCCACCATGCTAACAGTCTTCTCTGACTTAAGCTGTGCAACTGCCTGCAAATAGTGTGAAATCGAAGCAGGTTTTCCAATTTCAGTAGCTTCTGATTCATGCTTCTCCTAGAAAAAAAATTTTAAATAAAATTTTGGTTAATATTTAAATCAACTTAGCAGATACGAATTGAATATTTACTATATGAAGATCATGTGTCACAAATGGATCTAGGTTTCTGCCTTGAAAGAACTCATGGTCTAGTCAGAGAGAACATTTATACTAAGTCCTCTCCAGACAACAGCTGTTATTATTGCTCTTGTTATTATTATGGTAAGATCGATAGGCTACAACAAACACTTTATGGGGGCAACCCATCTGCAAAGTGCTTGCCATAACACTGCTCAACTGAGTATGGCATAACATATTCCCAGCCCTCAAGTGGCAGTGGGAGTTCAAGGTCATCCTTAGCTACAGTTTGTGGCCTACTTTGTTACATATGACATTGTCTAAAATCCCAGCACATGGGAGACAAAGGCAGGCAGATCTCTGTGAGTTCGAGGCCAGCCTGGTCTACAGAGCAAGTCCCAGGACAGCCTCCAAAGCTACAGAGAAACCCTGTCTCAGGGGAAAAAAAATATGTATATAGTGTTCTACTTGCATGTCTGTCTGCATGCCAGAAGAGGGCATCAGATCTCAAATTGAACTCAGGACCTCAGGAACAGCAGCCAGTACTCTTAACCTCTGAGGCACCGCTCCAGCTCCAAGCATTATTCTTTAATGTTACAAAAAAAATTAACTATAGAGTATTGAACTGAATTTATCTTAATCATATAGAGCAGCAGTTCTCAACCAGTGGGTTGTGACCCTTTGGGGATCACAAATCAGATACCCTGCATATTTATATAGATTCATATCTAGCAAAATTAGTTATGAAGTAATAAAGTAATTTTATGTTTGGGAACACTACACCATGAGGAACTGTATTAAAAGATCACAGCATTAGGAAAGTTGAGAACCACTGCTATAGAGCTATCTTGAACAAAATTCTCAACTTTTATAACAAACTTATAGTTTATATTATAGAGAATTTATGTATCAATTATTTGCTAGTGTTCTGAAATAGTAACAGTATAAGACGTGATCAAAGAAACAGAACTAAGACATTAAACTAAAATGTCAATGGAACATGTCAATTCCTCTTCCTCACATGTATTTTGTGGCACTGACAGAGTAAATGCATGAATTAAGTTTGAGAAATGTTCACTGTATTGTTAGGCTGTCTGGAATTACGATCCCCTGGCTTCCATCTCCATGTGCTATGATTAGACATGTGCCTCCATGCCTTCCCATGAATGTTTTTACTTTCTTTCTCTTTTCCTTCCCTTCCCTTTCCTCCCGTCTTCTCCCCTCCCCTTCCTTCCTTTTCTTTCTGTTTTGAGACAGGGTTGCACTGTGTAGCTCTGGCAGTCCTAGGACTTGCTGCATAGACCAGGAAGGCCTTGAACTCAGAGATTCACATGCCTCTGTCTCCTGAGTACTGGGATTAAAGGTGTGCACAAGAATCACCTTGCAGCCGGGCGTTGGTGGCGCACGCCTTTAATCCCAGCACTCGGGAGGCAGAGGCAGGCGGATCTCTGTGAGTTCGAGGCCAGCCTGGTCTACAAGAGCTAGTTCCAGGACAGCCTCCAAAGCTACAGAGAAACCCTGTCTCGAAAAACCAAAAAAAAAAAAAAAAAAAAAAAAAAAAGAATCACCTTGCTTCTTTCTGTAACTCACTCTGTAGACCAGCCTGGACTTGAACTCACAGAGATCCACCTGCCTCTCCCTCCCGAGTGCTGGAATCAAAGGCGTGTGCCACCATCTCCAGGCAGTTTCTTTGTTTCCTAAAGGAAAGAAATGATAGCCAAGTGTGGTGTAGGTGACTGTAATCCCACCAGCTGGGAAACAGAGGCAGTAAGCCAGAAGTACAAGGCCAGCTTTTGCTATATAGTGAACCTGGGGTCAACCTGAGCTTCAGGAGATCTTGTTTCAAAAAATAATAAACAAAAAATAAACCCCACTGTGGGTGAGATGGCTCAGCATGTAAAAACACTCCACAAGCTTGACAACCTGGGTTTGATCCTCAGAATCCATGCTAACACGGAGGGAAGGTTCCACTCCCCAAAACTGTCCTCTGACCTCTACATGTGGCCCATGACATGCACATGACATTCGTGTAATACACATGACACATATCACACACATACAGAAGAAAATACAAGTAAAAAGAAACGAGAGCTGACAATGACACCGCAGTAAAGAAAATACCCGGTGAGGTGACACCTGCTCTGGCATGCAAGTCCCTCCTGTCCTATGGCCTCATGTCCCCATCTCCATAAAAAGAAGAAGGGCTTATCTCTCTGCCCTTTCTATAACAAGGTCACAAAAGGAAAATAAGATGATGCATTTGTGCTTTTCACTGATAACTAGAATAATGCTTTGGAAGATCACCACTACCAGTTAAAAACATCCACAAGTCACTATCTTACTCATTTGAAGGTAATTCTGAGGCTTTGTGTGTGTTTAATGTAGTTATCGTTTTTACTTTAAAGTAAAGGCTCATTCAATTAAGGATCAAAACTGACTTCATTAAAAAAAAAAAAAAAAAGGAATTAAGACTTTGAAATCCAAACCAGGCCTGCTAGCACAGGCAACAGCAACAACAGCCAAAGGCTGAAGCATGAGGATGACAGGTTCAAAGCCAGCCTCCAGGCTTGGCTACAAGGGGAGCTCAAGGCCAGCCCAGGGATATTACGCAAACCATCACGAAGACGAAGAAAAGAGGGAGATGGAGTGTCGGGGCAGAGAGGTGCATGGGACCTCAGGTTCAGTCTGAAGCTCTGGGGGGAAAAAGAGGTGAAAGCCATGGCTTTGATATAGACCACTGCTGCTCTTGAGACAACTGAGTTCAGTTCCAAACACCCCTTTGGGATACTCACAACTCCATTATTCTAGCTCCAGGGGATCTCATTCCTTTTTTTTTCCCTATGGGTGGGCAGGCATAACACACACACTAGTTTTTTTTTTATTCTTTGAAGTATTTACATCTTCATATTCAATAAGCAAGCACTTACATGACTGTCGAACACATGAAAAATCATGATCTACAAAGAAAAAGAAAGTGCTCAGAGCACTGGATTTCTTAAAACATGGGGGGGGGGGTTATTTATTTATTTTTTCGAGACAGGGTCTCACTGTGTAGCTCTGGCTGTCCTGGAACTCACTATTTAGAAAAGACTGGTCTGGAACTAACAGAAACCCGCCTGCCTCTGCCTTCTGAGTGTTGTCACTTAAAGGACTACAGGTGTGTGCCCCTACGCCTGGCTACCTTACATCGTTTTTTAAAAAGATTTATTTATTTATTTATTATATATACAGTGTTCTGCCTACACGTGTCCCTGCAAGTCAGAAGGCAGCACCAGATCTCATTACAGATGTCTGTGAGCCATCACGTGGTTGCTGGGAATTGAACTCATGACCTCTGGAAGAGCAGCCAGTGCTCCTAACCTCTGAGCCATCTCTCCAGCCCCCTTAAATCATTTTTGAATGAGTTGTGAAACCAGATTTGACAAAGGGCATACACGGATTTATGGAATGGTAAAGACTCTACGAAACAAACCAACAAAGAGAAATGCAATCGAGGAATCAGACACATTGAGAAAAACCCAAATCTCAAACCTGGAAGGAATCTTGGTTGCTTTTGTTATTTTGTTTGTTTGCTTTTTCGAGGCAGGGTTTCTCTGTATTGTTTTGGAAGCTGTCCTGGAACTCACTCTGTAGATCAGGCTGGTCTCGAACTCACAGAGATCCTCCTGCCTCTGCCTCCCGAGTGCTGGGATTAAAGGCACACGCCACCACCGCCCGGCTTGAATCTTGGTTGTTAAATATTCCAAAGCCTCTCACTTTACAGAGGGCACTGGAAGCCAGAGGAATCATTCCCTACTGCCACAAGGTTAGTGGCAACGCGGACTGGAACTCAGGCCCGACGATCCCATAGCAAGGAGTGGGCACGCTGCACACGCGTGGCTGCCTTAACGGAAAGGTCGCAACCGACCAACCACAAGTTTCAGAAGGGAAAAAAGAAGCAGTGAAAACCAAACCCCGCCGCCGCCACCACGCGAGTCGCTGGGGAGCGCTCGCGGGCTTTCATGAAGCCGCGACTCGGGACACCGGCACTCGCGACCACCCGAGCTCCGGGGCCCCACTCACGCAGTTCTCAGGCGAGACCACTTTCCGGACCCAGGAGCACGGTGGGTCAGTCGGTCCGTCCATTCCGCAAGGTCCCCGCCGAGCTTCCGGTGCCGCCGGAAGTGGCCTTCCCACGGCTCTGTGGTTGGCTGAGGCGCTTGGCTTGTCCCTTCCCTCCCTGGCAGGACGCGTCCTTCACACACGCGAGTGTCCGCCGGGGAGGAGCCCGCGAAGGTGGCTGTAGAGAGCACTAACGAGGGTGGATGCGCGCCCTCGCGGTGCCGTGGGGAGTGCAGCGAGGGCTCGGCTCGCAGCCCGTTCTCGGCGTGTACACGAGTGTCTGTCAACTCTCGGTGCCTGCACCTCGTCAGCGCTGTGTCTGCCTCACGGCATCGCGAGGTTTCGGGGCTGCTTTAGAGCACCTTGTTCCTGGGAACGTTTGGTTTCCATTTTCGTCGTTTTCCTCCACGTTGGAGTCTTTCTGGTCCGTCCTCCTGACCACAGCCGTCACCACCTCTTGCGGGTTTACATCTAGCACTGCCACAGATTAATGGAATGGTATAGAAACGTTCCTCCCCCAAAGTACGCTCTGCATTTGTCTCCCATTGTAAACCCTAACTCGGGTCTCTTAACTCACTCCTTTTCCTTTAAAAAATGTAGTTATTTTTGTATGTATAAGAGATGGAGGACAGTTTTTGGGAGTCAGCTCTCCTTCCACAGTGTCGCAGGGATCGAACTGAAGAACTCAGGTTTGGCAGTTAGCTTCTTTACCCAGTTAGTAATCTCGCCACCCCTTCCTTTTCTTATCACAAAGGTTCACAATCAATATCCCTGACTGTAGAGACTCCTGGAAATCTTTTTTTCTGAACCTTCACTAATCCCACACTTGTAAATTACTTAAGCTCATTCCAATTCTTGCCATTTTACCTACTATTCAGAAACATCTCATTCAGAGAAGCTCATTTTCTGCAAACAATCCTTTGCTTTCACTTGCTAGGCAAGCCATTGAAAAAGCAGCAGAGACGATGCTGATGTAGCTTGCACCTGGACACACCCTTCACCTCTTTAGCCTCAACCACACCTCCTGTTCGCAGTTCTTTAAGCTGAATGACCATAGTCATTCCAGCAAACCTCCAACCTGGGTTGTCTTTCAAGGACACTCTATGTACTTTGTTTTCAGGGTTTGCTTCTCGGGCCTCTTTGAAACTCCTTAACTCTGCTTTAAACCTTTTCGGCCATTCTATAACCTACACATAGGCACATACAGGTGTATTTACTGGGCACTGTGTAACATGTGATATGAGAATTAATGTTAGTACTTAAGACTGTAATAAAATGGAGGAGGGAAGATGGTTTACTGGTTAAGAGCACTGGCTGCTCTTCCAGGGGACCTGGATTCTATTTCCAGTGTCCACATAACAGTTGACAACCTTCTGTAACTCCAGTTCCACGGGGATCTCATGCCCTCTTATGATCTCTGCGTGCATGTGGTATATATACATTCAGACACATACACATATAGGGAAAAATTTAAAAAAATAAAGATTGTGTTGCTGGCTCATTTAAATGAATTTCATTAAAAAAAAAAAGAAAGATTGGAAGAAAAAGACCATGGGCTGGCACCTCTTGCCAAGCCTGATAATCCGAGTTTGATAATTGGAACCCATCACTGGAAGGACAGAACAGACTCCTGCATGGGAGTCTAATCATCACATATGCTATGTGACACACCCACTTCTCACAACAAGTACACACACTTTAAAAGAGCCCATGTTTATCAAGGAAAGCAGGATGGCTTCATAAATTGCTGCCAACAAAACCACTGTGTCTTGCAAATGTAATGTTATTCAATAAATTCTGACATTGTGGAAAGATGTACATGTTTGTCTGTTTCTGACAGTATACTCAGGAGGATTCAGTGTGCCCAGATCCATCTGACTTCTCCAACTTTACTTATAGGCACTAATTCATCTTCTGAGATGAATCTTCTTTCATAATCTTTATAAGAGTTTTCCTGGAATGGGGATAGGAAAGATGATGCTACTACTTAGTGGTTTTGGATATTTGTTTTTATTTATTTATTGGGTTGTTTTTAATTGGAGACACAGGGTAAGCTACCTGCTTATGCTTACAAGAATGCGAAACAACTGTCTTTAAAAGCATTTTCATTTGTGTGTTTATGTGTATGCACACATGCATGTAGGTGTCTGGTGAGCTCATAAGAGGTGTTGATTCCTCTGGAGCTGGAATTACAGGTAGTTGTGAGCACTTAGACATGGGTGCTAGGAACCCAACTCCACTCCTCTGAAAGAGTAGCCAGTGGGTCAGGCATGCATTTAATCCCAGCACTTGGGAGGCAGAGGCAAGCAGATCTCTGTGAGTTCGAGACCAGCCTGGTCTACAGGAGCTAGTTCCAGGACAACCTCCAAAGCCACAGAGAAATCCTTTCTGGGGGTGGGAGGGGGGAGTAGCCGGTGTTCTTAACTACTGACCCACCTCTCTAACCACCTAGTTTGTTTTTCCTAGCTTAGTCTGCTATAGAAATTTTTGTTTGAAGCAAACCACACTGTTCATACTCTTCTAATCATTCACCATATCCTTAAATGTTAATATGATTGACAGCATAGAAACTAGGAAAATGTCTATTTAACTGGACCTTTTGCTATTAGACATTCCTATGTGAAATATAGGATATTTTGTGTCTACCTTTAGCTGTCTCCACTCAGTAGCTTTCTACTGTGACATCTGATCATAATGCCACAAGACACTTGCCTTTTCCAATACCTGCTTCCTCCAGTCTCTGGAGTTTTGTCAGGTAGACCTCTGCAAACTCATGACATCACCTTTACCTAATGCCTTCTCAAACACATCTTCCCAGGCAGGTTCCCAAAGGAGCCTCAGGGTATAGCCAGACACATCTTTAGTCCATAGTCATTAGATAGTTCAGTCAGAGAGAGACAGAGACAGATGTGTGTGTGTGTGTGTGTGTGTGTGTGTGTGTGTGTGTGTGTGTGTGTGTGTGAGAGAGAGAGAGAGAGAGAGAGAGAGAGAGAGAGCACTCGTGCCAGATTTTAAGGTCTTTGAGAGCAGAAACCATACATTTCATGTGCATGCAACATATATACTGAAAGATTTGTTGAAAGAAAGAGAGCAGTAATCATTAAAAATAAATATTGTCTGACTTGCTGTTTGGGTTACAACAGCATTTTAGGATTGCTTTCAGTTTCCCTATCTTAGAGCTGCCCTTTACTTTATTCAGCTGATGATCTAACATCTTTTTTGTTTGTTTTTTGAGACAGGGTTTCTCGGTGTAACAGCCCTAGCTGTCCTGGAACTAGCTCTTGTAGACTAGACTGGCCTCAAACTCAGAGATCTGCCTGCCTCTGCCTCTCAAGTGCTGAGATTAAAGGCGTACTCATCCACCACCAGAGGATAATCTAAGATCTTTCATCTAATAATGAAGCCCTCCCTATCCTCTGGGTGTTTATAAACACCCCACTTTTGGGGGTCTTTTGATTTCCTTTGGCAGGTAGGCTACCGCGGTAGTTTTCTTTCACCAAAAACCAACAGGGTCCTTTGATTCTTGGACCTCATCAGTGTTCCTCTCTGAACATCGTCTTTCATACCAAATACCTACAGTTATCAAGAGCAGCCCTCCCTTGATGTCATCCTGTGAAATTGCCATAGACTTACCCTTACTTACCTTTAAAAACAACTTGTCGGCTTTCACTTTTCAGATGCAGCCACTCCTGTGACTAGATGACTATTTCCCAAGTTCATGCTAGGTCCTTTTCAGTGTAACTATTTAATTGTATTTCACTTGAGAGGATCATGACAAATACAGCATTTCTTTGTACATAGCACAATGCGTACAGATATGTGATTAATATGGATGGGGGTGTTAAAGTTATTTCACCAGACACAGATTAAATTCTGTTTTACCTTTGGTGGAAAAACTCTTGTTACAGGATACTTGTCATTCAATTATGAGTAGACTAAAATTAAGATGTCATTATCATGGATGAGAGGATAAAGGTAGTAATTTTGGCAGGGTGAAGAAGGTTATAATAGAAAGAGTTCAGAAGCTAAACTGATGCATAGCTATTGTCAAGGAGGAACTCTGGGCTTATACAGCTGACAGATGGCCAGAAAGACCAGGGTGTAAGCATTTTCCACTTGTGACACCCTTTTACCCAAGAGATTACTACATGACCCCAAGCACATAAAATAGATATGCAAATCAACAGTTACTAATAATCATAAATTTTAAACCAGTTTTTGGTATGTACATATTTTGTTATTTATTAACAAAAAAATTATGTACCAATAGGATAAATGTACTTTATTGTTACGTATGGAATTAAATTTATCTGAATATTTGATACTGCAGGAATTGGAGCATCTTCATTGTTTTTCAGAGTTGATCAATATTTTGATTTTGTGACCATCAATACTGAGAATATCAACTTGCTGCCATATGAGAGTTGGGAATGTTGAGGACAAGGTCACTTAATCTTACTCCAAGGCACTTCCCAAAACTCAGGCACCTTCCCACAGATGGCCTGGCACCACAGAGATGACCCATCACTTAACAATGCTTCCTAACGCCTGCACTCCCTGGTGAGATCTCCTGCCCATGCATATCAAACGTTCCCCACTGCCTCACTTCTCAGCATCTCCTGTCTAACAACCTCTGCCCATGGCCAATGCCACATCCCCTATTTAAGCCTGGACAGAGTTCTCATTAAATGGCAGCTCGATCGGAAGATCTGTCTTGCTGTCCATCTCTCTTGTGTTTCTTGTCTCATTTATTCCAAGTTTCCATGGCCTCGAACCTGTTGTGTCCTGCTGGTCAGGGAAGGGAACCCTAGATCCTCTTATAAGAGCAGTATGTACTCTTAACCACTAATCCGTTACTCCAGTTCTGAATTAACATTCTAAAAAAAAAGTCTTAACTTTTGAGATAGGGTCTCATTCTGCCCAGGCTGGTCTTGAACTCACAGAGGTATGTCTGCCTCTGTCTCCTAAATGTTAAGATCATAGGTGTGTGTCATTATGCTCAGAAAATAAAATGGATATTTTATTACTGGAGGTTAACTTTCTAAACTTAGACCAGAAAAACAAAAAAGAATGACACTTCTGTAGAGAAAAAAAAAATAAGAGGAAAGGAGGGAGCAAAGTAAGTAAAGCCAGCCATATCTTTCTCAATCTTTTTTCTCTCTTATTTTTAGATTAGATAGATTTCATCTAAATCAGTGGTTCTCAACCTGTGGGGTGTAACCCCTTTGGCAAACCTCTATTTCCAAAAACATTTACATTATGACTCACGACTAGCAAGTCACAGTTATGAGGTAGCAATGAAATGATTTTATGGTTGGGGTCACCATGACATAAGAACTGAATTAAATGGTTGTAGCACTAGGAAAAGTGAGAACCACTGTTCTACATGAGCCAAGAATATCAACAAAATTAGTTCAAAACTAGGGGAAGATAATAACCATAAGAAAAATATGTGGGTATCTGGTAATTAGAAAAACAACCAAAAAAAATTAAGATGCCAGGCATGGTTAACACTCTTCTTTAGTCTCAGCCCTTGGGGACAGGACTAGGCAGATTTCTGTGAGTTCCTTGCCAGTCTTGGCTATAGTGCTCAACACAGTCTCAAAAGAAACAAAATAGGCTCCTTAAACCAAAACAAAACATTAAGCTGTCCCCTTTGTTATTTTTACACACACACACACAAACAAAACAATACAAATTGAACAACAAAATGTATCTTTGATCAAAAGTTATCTCCTAAAAATGCTGTCAAAAGTGCCATTATAGGCCAGCAAGATGGCTCAGAAAAGGCACATTTACTGCCAAACCTTATGACCTGAGTTTGATTCTGGAACTTGCACAGTTAAAGGACAGAACTGATTGCCACAGGCTATCCCCCTCCCCAAAGTTCCCAGTAGGTTAATTTGCACATTGCTAACTGTAGGGGAAAAGGACCAGACAAAGAAACACACCCTGAGCAGAGCCAAAGAAACACACTTTGGCCCTGAACCAGAACCAAAGAAATGTACCCTGACCCTGAAACCAGTGCCAAAGACACACACTTGGTCCCTGGGATCAGAGTCAGTGAAAGAAATACACCCTGGCCCTAAAACTAGAGCCAAAAGGCTTTTTAAAAAGGACCAGAGAAAGAAATGCACTTTGGCCCTGAAACCAGAGCCGAATCTGACCCTAACCCTGTGCAGAAAACTAACCAATCCCGGAGCAGAGCTCTAGTTAATCTGAGCTCAGCATTAAAATCTGACCAATCCCTACCCTGGAAAAACTTCCCACGACCCCAAGAATCCTTATATAAATCATGTGTATGTTCACCTTGGTCCAGCTGCTTCTTTCTAATAAACCTGATGAGCTTTGGGTGAACATATTCTTTTGTGCAGGGCTGTAACTCTTCTGCCAGGGAAACCTTACGTTGGCTCTTCACTCTCCAGGGAGCAAAGCTAAACTGTAGCAACTTCCCCAGGAAACCTCCTGTCAGAGCAAAACTGCTACATTGGGCAAACATCCCCAGCTGGAAGACCCTCTCCTGCCAGAGCAGAGCCAAAACACTGGGGAAGCCTCTCCCTTAGGCAGGGCTGTAAGCTGCCATGCTTTCTGTGGCCTATGGTAATCCTGGGCTCCCGAGCTCCAAGATACCTTTCCATCTGAGCTGTGTAACACTCAGTATTCTGTGACTCCCGAGTGCCAGAATACTTGTCCTATCTTATCCGCCCGAAACGCTTACACTAATAAATTTAGAATTGTTATTTTCATAAACAATTGAGAATACCAGAATTGACTAACAATAAACATCTTCATCAATACGAAGTGGCTAAGAATTGTGATTCAGGATTGAGTATCTCAGTGGTAGAGTGCTTACCTAACATGCATGAGGCCACAGGTTCCATTCCCTGTACCCAATAAGCAAATAATTACGATCCTGCTACATGAAATACTTATTAAAATAGTTATTAGGCTAGCAACAGAAAAATGCTTATCAGTTTTTAAAAAAGCAGGATACAAAACTATTTGTATGAGGACTTCAACTGTCTAATGAACATGAAGATACACAAAACAATGAAAGGATAAAGGCGGGAACTGGGGATGGTGTTATGGATATGGTGTGAGGTGGGACCTTTTGCAGATCCCATAGCGGGTGAGAGACAGAGACCTATAGACAAAAGTTTATTGGGGGAAGAAAGGAGGGGGTGGAGAGGGAGAAAGAGACAGAGACCTGCCTCCTTAGAGAAACAGCAGGGAGAAGTGGGCGGAGTTTACCTCTTAAAGGGGCCTTCGAACCTGCTTACAGAGCCAGGGTGGCACACTTTGACAGGTTCCCAAGGGGCAGAGGCAGGTTTGCTTAGATTATAACAGATGGCTCCCTTGGTCACTACCGTGATGGTGTTCAAGATGAGTTTGATAACAGTCTGCACCAAGAGACCATGACTCAAACGATTAAAAAAACAAAAGGAAAGTAGAAACAACATCGAAATGCCGTCTTAATAGACAGGTTAAAGGGCTGGAGAGATGACTCTATGGTTAAGAGCACTGGCTGCTCTTCCAGGAGACCCAAGGCTGCACTCACGTGACTATAATTAACTCTAGTTCCAGGGGATTTTCCGCCATCTTCTGGCCTCCAAAGGAGGTGCAGACAGGCAAAATACACATAGAAAGAATACCAAAAAATAGATTTAAGCTAAAAAGTTTTAAAATCTTGCAATCCTGAGTTCTGAGTGAAACTGTAAACACAACTGTGGTTTCCTCTTTTGTAGCTTCCTCCAAGGCTGAGTAAGTCATGGGCCATTTACCTTCGTTTAATGAGGGTTTCTTTTTCAGATCTTAACTGTTCACCACCAAATAAATTCATATTAAAGTTAAACATCTCTGAGGATATAAATGTTTCATCTAAACTCTTAAGTGGAATACTAATGTGGGATTTGAAACTCACTCAAGAGTGGCCCCAACGTGGCTGCAGATCCACGGCCAAAAGGTATTGCAATGGCCTCGGCAAAGGGTGCATCGTGGCACTACTGATGGTTTCTTTCTTTCTTTTTTTTTTTTTTGGTTTTTCGAGACAGGGTTTCTCTGTGGCTTTGGAGGCTGTCCTGGAACTAGCTCTTGAAGACCAGGCTGGTCTTGAACTCACAAAGATCCGCCTGTCTCTGCCTCCCAAGTGCTGGGATTAAAGGTGTGCGCCACCAACGCCCAGCTACTACTGATGGTTTCTAATACCAAGACGGGCTGGAGCGCCGGCTGTTCTTGCAGAGGACCTGAGTTCGGTTCCTAGCACCCCACTGCTCGCCATCCATAATGCCAGTTGTGGGAGATTGAACATGCTTTTCGTAGAGCACTGCACACATGTGGTGCACAGGCGTGCATTCGGGTAAACCGCCCATGCACATAAAATTTAAAAAGAAAACCGGAAAGTCGTACTGTTGGGGTTCCCCGAATTGAGGAGGGGTCCCCAAGCTGGATTCATTGCCCCAAGAATCAAGAGTCCACGCGCCAATTGATGCAACACGCAAGAGGCTTTAATTAGGCATCTGCAGATGGGCCTCTCGGTCAGCTTTTAGACCGATTGGCCCCGAGGTTCAGTTACAATCAGCTTTTAAAGACAAAGCCGCAAGCCTTTGGGAGGGCTCCCTGTCTTGTGACCGGGGATTCGTGACTACCCCCTCGTCAGTTCTTCACAGGTGGTCAGCAGCCCGGAATTGGCCTTTTGTGGGTTTACAGCCCTTCTGCAATTAAGGTTGCTAAACCATACATTCCATTCTGTGGTTTGGCCAGTTCCTGGGATGGGGTCCTTTGTTCACTTCCCGAGTTCTCTAGTGGGTGCCCTCCCTGTTTAAGCTTATATTTTATTTCTATAAACTCGGGGTCTTTCAGTACGTTACTTATTATAGTTGGAAAGCTCTGAAGCCATAGTACCGCGGTCCCGGGACGAGCTTTCCACGGGCGTCTACGGGGACTCGGGAGATCGGCTCTGCGGCTGGCCGCACTAGATGCTCCCTGGCCGGATAGTCCCGGGGAGGCGGACCGCCACGCCCCGGAAGCTGCGGCACTCACTTCCGGCCAAGCGTCTCGGTCCACCTGCCCGCGTAGCTGAAGCATGGCGGTCGCCGGACTGCGGGCAGCTTTAGAGCAGAGGCTCGGCGCTCTCGCCATCCGCACAGAGGTCGTGGAGCACCCCGAGGTGAGGCTCCGGACTGGTCCGTGGGGCGAGTGTTTGGGTCCCACAGGAAATTGCAGGTCTTTCGGTTTGAGACAGCGGTGATGGTGAGGAAACTTGTCTGCCGCCCTGTGTAGAGGTACGAGCGAGCCCCCACTTTATAAGTGCCTGTGTGTGTCCGGTGCCGAAGACAGCAGGCCATTAGAGTGGTTCGCTTTCTTCAGACAAGGCAACACTCATCTCCCAAATAAGTGTGTATCCCTGGGTCTGGAGGATTGTTTTCGCGGTGAAGAGCACGCCCATACACTGCCAATAACTACAGCACTCTTATGGCCCTGCACTCCCTCCCCTACGTGTCACAAAGAAAAGTGCGTACCTTAATACTTATTTTAACATGAGTTGTCGTTTTGCAGGGTTGGCAGGGCTTGAGGGACACATTTCACAATGATAGAAAAAAATGTTAACATTCCCCATCCCAGCTTTACAAACGTCACAACAAAGTTTGACATTCCTGTCTACAATGCTAAAAGAATTTTTAAAACAATGTTTTTCATGTACTAACCCGGGGTCTTAAGTTCCCTGGCAGTGTAGAGTGGAGATCCTCGGGTGTTCTGGAGGTAAATACTAAGGACAGCTGTAAACTTTTACTGCCATAGTTCAAAAGCATTAAGTGTTGCAGGCATCTGATGGCTTTGTCAGCATACTGGCATAGAAAACTAGCCTAAGAAACACCCGAGGGTAGCAACTGTGATGACCTAAGGCTTTTTGTTTTTTTTTCCGACGGGGTTTTGCTGTGTAATACAGGTTTAACTGAACTCTTGATCCCAGCCTTAGCCCAGAATACCTATTACAAGGTTTCAAAGGCTTTAAAGACTGAGGGTTAGTTCAGAGGTACTGAACTTGCCTAGCATGCATAGTGCTCTGGGTTCCATCCCCAACACCAAAAAGCCCAACCCCAAACAATTAAATTTTTTGTTTTAATGAATAGAGAGGGGACTCTACCAGTTAAATCAGAGTACTCTTGAAGTCTTTTAGCCACCAGGCAAACTAAGTACAACTGTGTCTGTACTTATGTGTGCTGCTTTACTAGTGTGATATTTTGCAGGTATTTACAGTTGAAGAAATGATGCCTCATATTCAACATTTGAAAGGAGCACATAGTAAGAACTTATTTCTTAAAGACAAAAAGAAGAAACACTACTGGCTGGTGACAGTTCTTCATGATAGACAAATTAATTTAAATGATCTTGGCAAGCAGTTAGGAGTTGGGAGTGGAAATCTTCGGTTTGCTGATGAAACAGCCATGCTCGAAAAACTAAAAGTTGGCGCAGGCTGTGCCACACCTCTGGCACTGTTTTGTGATGATGGAGATGTTACATTTGTTTTGGATTCAGCTTTTCTGGAAGGTGGACATGAAAAAGTATACTTTCATCCAATGACTAATGCTGCAACCATGGGCTTGAGTCCTGAAGACTTTCTCGTTTTTGTGAAGGCTACAGGACATGACCCCATAATTCTAAACTTTGATTAAAAATTGATTTGGAGCTGTGCATGGTCTAGCACTCTAGGCAGAGAAGGCCGGTCTTTGAGTTCTAGGCCAGCCAAGGACTTAAATAATTCAGATGCTGTGTCAAACAAAAAAAAAAGCCAATTGGGCTAACGCTCATAATAAACTCATTTCCACAGCTGTTTTTATTGTGTCTTTGATTTGGAGATCATCATTTGTCTTAAAGATTTTTATGTGTATGAGCATTTTGCCTACATGTAGGTGTGTATCACATGTACCTACCTATGCCTGTGACAGTCAGAAGAGGCCATTGATCCCCTGGAACTGGGATCCCCTGGGCAGATAGTTGGGAGCCATAATCTGCGTCCTCTTCAAGAGCAAGGAGTTCTAACCACTGACCTGTCTTTCTAGCTCCAGTCTTAAATATTTTCTAAAAAGATGAACTAAGTAGTTTTTGTCAGTTGACAGATTCTACTTTGTCTCAGTCTTCCATGACAATTATTTATTATAAGAAGGCCGTCAACAGTTGGGAGTCCTGTTGGGATTAATGAACGTAAACCTTCAATAGGCACTTGGAATATACTGATAATGGCTATTGGGGGGGGATTAGGACTGTCCCCAGTAAGATAATTAAAAACACTTTCCAATGTATGTTTTTAAGCCAGTACGGCTTTTTTTTCCCCAATAGACAGTAAAACTTTCTATTAAATATTGTTTTGTTGGGACAGGGTCTCATGTAGGCCAGGTATGTTGACATTCTGATCCTCTTGCCTTTGCTTCTAAAATGTTGGGATTATAGGTAGGAACAATCACTCCTGGCTTATTTAAATTAATGTAGAAAAACTAGAAGTAGAAAATGTTATCATTAAACTATTAAAGTTACATTTTAAAACTCAGCAGCAAAATATACCTTATAGCATCAAAATTTGTTTCAGATGACAGGAAGGCATTTCTTTTGTCTTCTACACTAATTTATTAATCTATTTTAGGATAACTTTATTAATCTCTGTGATGGTAAATCTTGGTTGTGAACTTGATTTGATCTGGAAACAAACACTCCTTTGGGCAGGTCTGTGAGGAAATTTCTAGGGAGTACTAAATGAAGAAGGTAGCCACAGTAGGCAGAGCTTTGTGACAGCAGCCTAGACTCAGAAGTTCCAGGAAAGAGCAGTGCAGCTGGTGAGTCCCATCGCTGCCACCACCTGGGCCATCCTTTTTGATATTTGCTGACTTGGGACTGAAGATCAGAGGCTCTTTGAGAATCCTCCAGGCCTTCTGCACCTACCAGGTCTTCAGACTCTCTGGTATGTAAAACAGTCATTGTTTGGCTACCCAGCCAAATGTAAGCTGATCTAATAATCCCCTTTGTAATATATATCCTCTTGGTTATATGTACTCTAGAAATCCTAATACAGTAATCTTTCAGTTATGGCATCTGAAAAACTAAAACTAGGAAAAATGTAGTTGTTTTTTCACTGAGGATCTGATGTAAGTTAAACTATAAAACTTGCTCTTGCTATTATCTCCATTCCTAACAATCAAGTGAGATGTTACTAAAAGAACTATAATTTTCTGTTTAATCTTTGAAAAATACTTTCTGTGTAGTACAGATACTGTAATTTGTGCTAACTTGTGTCATAGAAAGGCAAAATGAAAGTTATGACTGCCTTGCTTTACAGGTTCCATGCTTGGTTATCTGCCCTGTATTTTGTATCTCTAAGAAAACCAGGTAGCTTTAGGTTGCTATGTATATAAAATGAAGGAAGAGAACCCGACTTTGTAGACCTTGGATATCTTGCTGATAGTGAAAACATGGCAAGACTCTGCTAGCTGACTCACATTTATAAGTAAAAATAAAACATTAAGATTATGTGTTACCTGCGTGTATGTCTGTGTACATTGCTTGTGGAGGCCAAGAGAGGGTGTTGGGATTTCCTGGAGCTGGAGGCAGGCAGTTGTGAGCTGCCATGAGGACAGTGCTAGAAATGCAACCTGGCTACTCTGCCAGAGCAGCCAATACTGTTAACACAGAATCATCACTCCAGTCCCACAAAGATACATTTTTGCAGTCTATCACATTTTTGGCAGCTTTACTTTCTGAAGTTTCAGTAACCTGTGATTAAGTGACCCAAAATTATTAAATGGAAAATTCCAAAATTAAACAGTTAATAAGTTTTAAGTTACATTCCATTTTGAGATGCCATCTCAAAATCATGCCTTTGCCTAGCATATCCATACTGTATATATACTACCGATTAGTCACTTAGCCCTTGATGTCACCAGACTGTGACAGTATCTGTTTTCACAATGCTGGTGTTCAAGCAACCCTGTCTACTAGCTTAACAATATATTTCCTGTACCACCTGTATCACTTCATCTCATCACCTAATTAATTTATTTACCATTACAAGGAGTGATAACAAGTTCTGAGGAAGGGGCTGGAGCTACAACTAAGTGGCAGACTGCCAGCCTGTATGCCCCACGCCGAGTAAAATCCCCAGCAGTGACCCGCCCCCAAACACCCTGAGAAACAAACAAAACCTGAAAAATACAAACAGTGTTGTTATAGACCTACTTTATTATTAGTGACTATTGCTACTCATACTGTGCCTAGTTTATGATTTAAGCTTTTAGTATTAATGTATAGGAAAACAAAACAAGTAGGCATTCTCTAGAGTGTTGGAGTATACCCCTTCTCAGATAAGGGAAACTACTATAGATTGCATTTAAACATAGTTTAGGATTGACAAAACTGACTCTCCCCAAACCTCTTAATAACCAAAAATGGTTACGATAAAATACATAAAGATTTATAATAGTTGTCCAGGGTAAAGAGTAATACTTGGCTAATAAACAATTTTTAAATGATTATAACAATTGCTTTAAAATTTACCTTTTTTATTTCTTTTAATATCAGTTAATCCAGGATATATATTCTTAAGGAGAATCAAAGAGAGGAAAAAAGAATGTGACTGTGAAGACAATTCAAACAATGGCATCTTGTCACGCTAACCCTGTGGCTGACATTAGGGACCACCAAGTTTTGCCATTCAGCTTTACCTCCCCTATTAGCACTAACTTTTAAAGGAAATGTTATAGATTTTTATTTGATTTGGTATTAATAGTTGTGAGTACAATGGCAAACACTGAAAAAAAAAGCTAGTAGAAATGAAAAAGGACAATTTAAAATCAGGTTTTGTCAAAGGATGTTACAGGTGCAACATTATCCATTAAGCATTCCTCTTAAGGCATTTTCATTGTTCAAATAGCTTAATGTGTACATCAAGGTTTATATTATAAACTGGGCTCTTTTTGTATTATTCATATTCAAAACTTAAAGAAAAAATACATCTTAAGACAAACAGCTGTAAAGAAAACAATTCTCTTTTCTCGTAAAAAGTACAAAAGTAATTTAGAATACATAATTCCTCATAATTTCAGATTTGGTACAGTATTGATTTCACTTCCTGATGTAAACTGTTGAAGACAGTACAGGCTGTAGTACTCCATCTGTGAGGTGGCTACAATTCTATAACACACACAGTGACTTTTAAATAGGCTTTAACATGCTTTGCATGAAAGGTGCTAACATGAACCTGTCTTGTGAACTCTTTGGTAACCACCAACTCAAAAAAACTTTAATCAAAACATTGCTATGGCCATCCAGGAGGCATATTATTAGTGTTCTGGGCTAGTGCTGGTATTCTGACTTTTAAGTGTTCTTAGAGGTTTAGGGGCTGGTTAAGGAATAGAAAGAACCAGATATTAAAGGCAGGTTTAAGCCTGTTTAGAAAAACAGATCTGGTTCATTTCCATTTGGCTTAGGTTCCTACAAAGTCTGCTTCTGAAGTAGATTTTGAAGAAAAAAAAATTCATGTGGATATCACTTAGTCTTTTCTTGAAACAGTGTGAGGAAGGTAATGAATATAATTATGAATATTTTAATAGTCTCACTGTATTGCCTTGGTTCTTTTTTTTCCTTCCCAAGGTAGGCCTACTCCACTTTATTACAGGCATTGCCAGTAACGCGAGTCAGTGATACTGCTGATTAAAACTCAGCAGGCTCTCTTAGGATAGTAGTACAGAGAGGTCAACTGCATTATCACTCACCCTCTAGGTCACCCCACACTCATTAATTGTCCTGGGATGTGTGCTAATTGTGCAAATTGGATGCTAGTAATATAAATCTAACTTACCCACTTATTTTAGCTAAAACATAATTCTACACTTATTCTTTACTTTTCAATCAAAAGTAAATGTACACGTTTTTACATGTAATTGTCTCTAGACTGTCATGATACCCACTTACCAATTTGATACTTGAATCCAAGGAGTCATGATGCAGAGAGATTTCAAAGTCTAGAGAATAGTATTTCTGTTGTGCAACATTTGTGTTTCAGTAAGAATCCTTTGTATTTACATATATGTAGCACCTTTCATTCAAGAGTTTCAAAATGATTTAATTTTATAGCATTATTTTCTAACAAAGCCTACATAATGACAACTCTGAGTTAAATAAATCTAAGTTCTCTAACTTTCAATTTCTGATCAACTAAACACTTAGTGTCTTTTTTTTATTGATGGTCTTTCCAAAGGTGACTATAAACAGGACCTTCTAGTGGCCCTATTACAGAGATTGGGGGGGGAGACAACAAGAGGAGGGGGAAGAAATGAGACTTTTGTCATGGCTACTGGGTTAGTGATGGCACACTGTAAAACACACGTTATGGAATGTGTAATTACTCCAAAAAGCTCTTCAGAGTGGTAGTAAGAGTTTAGTAAGTATACTGTTAAAGTAAAAAAAAAGATTATTCTGGTTTTTACATTAAATAATGAACTTGCCTTAATGAGTAGCAATGTGTTTTTGGACTTCATAAGAAAATAAAACTGTGATATAAAATTGCTACTACTAAAAAATTGATGTTTCTCTGGGTTAACTAAATCTTTTTTTGTGCTTTTTTTTCAAATGTTTAAGGTAACAAACACATACAAATATTTCAAAATTACCTATAATAGTTATCAAGTTTAATATAATATTATAAAGGACAAAAACAGAAAAAAATCTTAGTAATAAAGGACAACCTTAATATTAAATGAGTTCCTGATAAAATTGTGTATCATAGAAATGATTTACATTATTTTCCCATAAGAAAACTTGTTAAGCAATAATCATGTCTC